GATTTTTTTATGGCTGTGCGAATAGTGATAATTCAATTTGAATCCAATTTGAATCGAATAGTGCTGAGTAGTTGCCCAAACGTCGGAATGTCGCATCGAATATCGAATTCCAAAACTTTTATTCGCAATGCGCAAAAACTAAACAATAATCGCCTAAAAAAAAAAAAAAAAAAAAAACTTTACGTGTTTATTTTATCGTGAGCTAGCCGAACGCAAAGCGACCAGCACGTATATACAAAAACGACACATTTGAGGTGCAGCTAAAGTGTGCGTTACTTCACCACAGCCATCCATTTAAACGGCTGAACTCTTTAAATCGTGGTGACGTCTTCCGCCACCTTGCCGCGGCACCTCGCTTATAGCCACGGGAAGAGGCGCGGGTATTTGAGTTATAAATTCTCCTAATATATGAACGCAACAAATTGACACCACACAGATTTGGCGGCCGGTTTTTGTCGAGAGCGTCAAACAAGCTCGAGTGCGACTGGTTTGTTTGAGGAATGCACACAACGTACGCTACTTCTCGTGTTTGTTTTTTCTTGTTTTTTTTTTTAATGGTTAGCTACGTAAGACTTTTTAGTGCAGGCTGGATTCAAATCTGGCCTACGAGGACATTGTCTCGCCATGGGGACAGCGTTCTCGAATAAACTCGGAAGTTTGTCCAGCGGCATTTGATGGGCCGAGTTATTCGAATACTATGGGAATTCCGAAATCACGTCGAATTATTCGGGCCATTCCCATTCGATCGGAATTCGAAACTCTAAGATTTGTGCACACTTTTTTTTTTTAACGAACAGCGAACTTTTTTCACGAACTTATCCCTCGGAAATCTCTCGGCACTGAACTGTTCAAGCGAGAAAGACCCAGAACGCGCGGTGATAGTGTCCGCGTTAGCGGTTTCGCGCATTAGTTATCGTTGATCGTTTCCTCCGCCCTGCGAGGCTCCTTTGCCCGCTACGAAATCCGCAAATCTGCAGACGAGGCTAGCGGCTCGCACGGGGAGAAAAGGGCCTATGAAAACTAGAGCTATTATTGGTAGTCTTTGGCAGAGTTGTCTGCTGCGTCTAGTTTACAAACGACACCCAGGTTTCTCTTCTTGTTTTATCGCTTCCCTTTTAAGACGAAGCATCGGCGCGAGCTTCTCACGGTGTCGCCGCGCGGGCCGTGTGAACCCTGGCGTAATTTCACTCGGACCCCAAATCTCCTTCGTCCCCGTTCACAGCGCGGCGGTGGCCCCCTGATATTATTGCGTCGTATCGCGGGCCACGACGGCGGAAGATAAAAGTGGCCGCGTAATTGTGGCCTCGCCGTTTGCTTGCGGTCGCGCTAAATAAAGCCGCTTGTGTCTCTCCGCTGCGCGGCGTCGACCGCCTCGAGTCCGGAAGCCGCCTTTGATAACGCCTTCGAAGACGCCTTCCTCTTTGGGGGGTCCGCGTGCCCCGGAGCCAACACCTAGGAGACAAGGCGTGCGCGTGACGTCATGGTTAGTAGATGCCCGACCCGCCCCAAGCGGTGAACACGCTGAAGCTCCGCGAGAGACGCCGCGAAGCGACAGTCGCGTCCATCTTGGCATCGCTGCCTGCTGGCGATCGCGATCGTTCTGAGACGCTGTAAGACGCGCTGGCGGCTACGCGAGCTATGCGCCCAGAAAATGGGGGAGAGGAAAGGCCGCTTGATTCGATTTCATTTTTCCTGTATAACTCGCAGGTCTGATTCGAGGAAAAAAAGAAACAGATGCAGTAGGCTGCCTAGGACAAGCACGACTTTAACACGCTACTTTACCGATAGTAATAATCTTGCCACCCCCCCCCCCCCCCCAACACACGCACGCACACAGGCACATTAAGTTGCAGACAGTCGAAATACTTCACCCCCTCCCACTCGTAAAAAATGTTTGGCTACGTCAGTGGCAGCGGTGAAAACGCCCTTTTTCCGCAATGGTGGCAGAACGGGAACCTTCCAACGTATACTACCCGCAAAATTCAGGACGCGCGATCGACGAGGCATCGTCGGTCCCGGGTTTCTTCTTTCGGCCCGGACCCTTCGGCTGCGGCGGTAGATTTAGCGGGAGCGACAGTCGCTGTCATCTGCTCTGCGGGAAAGCCCTGGTTCTCCGAGAGTTTTGTTTTTATTTCGGGGGCTTTTCTCTTGGGCGGGCCGGGTCTCTCTCGAGCAGCTGTCAGTGACGTGTCCCATAAAGGCGCGCTTGTCGCTGGTGCTGCGCACGGCTCTACGTACGAAGCCCCTTTTCCCGAATGCCCGCCTCGGATGGATGAGGGGACGCTGTCACCCTCGGATTCAATCGCACACCCTTTCCAAAGGTGCGCGTCGTCTAGTAGCTGCTGCGCCAATTATCCAAGTCCGCCATCGTCCGGGCGCGTACACTCTGACAATGGGGGGCAGTGAGGACAGTTATCGGACAGAGGGGCGAGGAACAAATGAAATACATTCCACAGCAAATCACTGCTGTCGAATTTCGGTAACGAGTAACATATTTAGTTACTTTCGTAGAAATGGACTTACTTTTGAGGAGTGACGCGTGCAACAACGTTTAAACAGCCTCGTTTGAATTCTAACCTCAGTATGCATCGCGTATTGCGGCCAGGGCAGATGGGCAACCCGAAAAAGATGAAACTGTACGACAGTACAGCAACGTTTATCAAAAGAACACGTGAGTCGAACTCTCCAGCTGGGAATGTCTTTCACTCAGAGAACACAATATAAGGTTCGTTCGTGGAATCTTTCCGAACCTTGTACAGACCGAGCGTAAACCCGGAGGTTGCCAACGCGGGAAGGCACAGAACCCACTGTCAAAGTTTGAACATTAGAAGCAGAGAGAACAAGACAGAGAGGGGAATTCCAGATTCACCAGCTCTTGCTGAAGCACACTGCCGTTCCTTCGAGCGCGTCAGTAGAACGACTCTTCAGCATCGCCGGAGGTGTATTCGCAAGGAGGCGCCGGAAACGGAACCGGTGAAAATTTCGAGAGGCAGCTATCTGCTTAAAGGGACACTGACAGGGTATTTATGCTCGCCGAGGTTTTTAGTTGTACGTGACATATGAGAGCTCAACTACCCAGAACAGAATTTGCGGCTCGAAATTCGGTTTCTTTCTGCCCGAAAACCGCCGATCAAGAATTGGCCGGTTCGAGTCTCGCTCACTCTCTTTTCCGCGGTCACGGGCCGTTTTCTAAGGTATCGATGCGACCACCAAATTTAATCAAAGTTGTGGGTCACTGAAGGCACACACTCAATATCAAAAATAGAAAAAAATATGAAACCCATTTTTTGTGGCTTCTAAAAAGCTGCAAATACGTTGATTGAAAAAAAGGTTTCACAGACAACCGGAAGCATTCTGTACGTGCGTCGTTTCGCGTATCGTGGGACTCGCACGGACGCGATGGCAGCGGACGACGGGCGTGGGACCTTTATTTCATAACTGTCGTTCGCGGTACCGGAGAATTTAGTCTGCCTTTAAAAGAGAAATTTTGGGACTGATCAAAAGAATTGGTCTTCATCCTGTACGACACGCCCGACCATCAAGCCGATTTGCACGAAGACGTCGCCGAGCCGTCGCTCCCTTCTCGTGGCTGAAGACATCGCTCGCGCAAGCGTCAAGCACGACGTGTCTACTTCGAGTTGAATATGCACGCGTACGATTTCTTTACAAGGTGAGAATGTCGCCAATGCGGGGTGCATCCCGACTTCGACCCGGGAGTGCTTTTGCTAATGGAAAATCGGTAGCAAACTTTCCAACTTACAGTTTATCGGCTGAATTATTACTAAGGAAAGAGATCCCATACTTTCCATATGCCGCAGTAGCTTAGCGGGAAAAACGTCGGCTTTACGCGCCGCAGGATCGAAGGTGAAACTTTTTTTTTTTTAATGTTTTTTGATGTCTACATTTCTTTTCTTTTTTTACAATTATCACTGAAAAAAAAAAAAAAAAAAGAAACAAATGTTGTGGACGACACGTCGCTGAATTAAATGCTATGGGATTTCCTTTTTGCCACCTGCGAACTCAATGTAATCACTCTCCACAAAATGCAAGGAGCATATAAATCAGGTAGCGTCCGCTTTCCGAGGTGCCCGTAAATGGTCTACAGGAATTGCAGCCAGCCATTGGTCCCGATCCCGTTGATCTTTCGGAAACTCTGTCGCACAATGCCACTTCTGTTTCGGACGCAGGACATGTGAGCCAGCTCTTCACGCAACATCTTGGGTGTATTCTTTTCGGAGCCGATCAAAATTCACCACGAGCACTCACTACTCATCTCCAACTCCTCAATATACAAAACAACTCATCTTGGAGTACAGAACAACGAGCGGAACATACATAACTGCAAAAGAATCCCACGGCGAACAGCTCCCGTACGCCGCATGTCGTCTGCTACCGGGAAAGAGAAAAAAAAAAAAAAAAAAAAACACGGTCGGGTGCACCCACGTGACTTCCGCCACTTGCTCTCTTCTCTCCACTTCTCCGACCTCCGTCGGGTTTCGGTTTCGGTTTCGAGCAGTTGCGTCTTTTGGCTTTATTAAAAAAATACGCTACTCTGTTGCAAAATATTAATTGGGTAGTCCTCCGACACCATAATGAAGCGCCTAACAAAAAATTAAAAAAAAAATTTTGGGGGGTGTCAGTGTCCCTTTAAGTGCAACGACTACTGAAAAGAAAACAAGCCACGAAACAAAAGTAGGCGTGTATTTGGTCGTCAAAGTACCGAGAAAGTAACTTGCTACTTTTGAGGTAAAGTAACGGCATTCCTTTTGAGAATCGGCAACGAGTAATGCATTTAGTTACTTTTTGAGGGAGTAACGAGTAACGGTATTTAGTTACTTTCTTGAGGCGACGTGTACGTGTGTGATTGTGATACATGTACTGCACGTGTATTTACCCTGTTTATTCTTTTTTTTTTTTTTACTTCAGTGCGCAGATTTTGTGTTGCACGTGTCTGTGATGCAGCTTGCACATGCTAATTTTTCTGAATCTTGTCTTTGCAGCACGGCGTGGTGGTAGAGTTCGAATGCGTGCATCCCGACAGTACGAAACCCAAGCTACACGATGTCCACGTTGTCCTGGAATCTAAAGAGAGCCTCGTGAGTAAACTTTTATTCGTACTTGTTTTTAACGCAGGTTGTGTTTTATCAGCCGATTCCCACGGAGCTCTCTAATATATTTGGCTGTAACAGCCGGCTTTAACGAGAAACGGACACCGTAAAGTTTTGCGGGCACGAGGAACCCATATAAAAAGACTTCCAGATCCCTCCTGCAAAAACTATATATGTAGGTGATGTTCTTTTGGTGTCTGCAAAAAGGCTTATTTAGGAAAATCAATAACGTTCGCTATGATTAGAGTATAAATTATGTTTGAGCAATTGGTTTTTAATATGTGAATTTAAAGATTGTTTTTAATTAAAAATGTTCTGGACATCCTGAAAAACCACTAAATCGACACAGCTTACAGAAATATAACGCGCGAGCAGATAGTTATGGCGTTCAAGAAAAAAAAAAAATCTTTATTTGGACAGGTGTTTAGGTTTTGGTTTTCTATCGGAGCGCATCTCCGCGCCAGCAGTCCTGCCCCCGTGGGAATGCACAAGCCAGCGGTACGAAACGATGCATTGTTCGGATGACATTGCAAGAATAAGCTTCGATTGTTGTTAGGTCCACCTCCGTCATGCGCAGCATGCTTGGAGGCGCACGTTAGTTGCGCGCTCTGGCCACCGGGAATCGGACTGCTTGCACTGAGATGCATTTTGATAGGAAACCAAAACTTCCAAGCATGTCCACATTGAGCATTTTCCTTTTTTCGAAACGTCATAAAGTTTGGTTGCCTTGTGATCGCTTACACTGGCGCCGTCTATGGGTGGCCCTGGAATACTCGCGATTCTTTGTGTGTCAAGCTTGTGTGTCCCTCCCTCGTTATTATCACGCACACGATGTTTGTTCCGAGACGGAATGGGGCATACCTCCAAGAATTTGACCTTCTGTAGCCTTTCGTATCAGTCTTCTGAGCCGACTACAGGGTGATTCAGGGAGAGGCCAGGCTCTTTAGATCGACCGCAAAATTCGGTTTCTTAAAGGGGCCCTGCAATGACTTTTTGACTGGTTTTTAATTTGCACTGAACCTGAGCGTACTGAACGTAGTAACGTAATTCAACTTTTCTTTTCTCAAATTTCGCTTTATTTTAAAAGTTATAGGCAAATTAGAATTACAAAAACAAGCAAAAAATAACCTCCTTCATGACGTCGTAGGTCCTGGCTTGAGTAGCCTTGAACTAGAGGAGGAGTAGTGAGCTCATCGAGCGCTCACGGCTGCCGCACTCCGTGTCGACGGCTCGAGAGGGCGCCACTAAAGCACGTGTTGGATAGGCTGTATGAAGCGGGCGGCCAGGGCAGCTCGCATCGCATTTGCAGCGCGACTAAACACTAATTTGGCGTAACATTTCATTGGCCACAAACGACAGCAAACACGGGGTAAAGATCAGTTCAGAACGGGAGCCACTTCGCGCTCACGCACCGCCAAATGGCCAAATCGCCCGCAGGGCCCGCACCGAAGGCCTTCGGAACGCTCGGAACCGGTCGGATTCTCGAGCCGGTATACGACCACAGCGCCGCCGCGTACATCCGGGACCTTTCTACGCTCCTCGTTTGTCGTAGCCTCATCCCACTAGCCTTTCCTAGTATGCGCCGTTTTTTTCCGCCGCTTGGTGGCGGGTATGTCGACGGGTCATTACTCGTTTCCGTACTTTCTAAACTGCATTTGTTTTTTTTCTGATCTAAAATAGTGAACAAAAACTACTTTCATACATAATTGAAACGATTCGCGACACTTATATTTTGTATCTCGACTAAAAAAAAGCTCTTAGCGGCTTTGACCAGTGGCAAGCCCAGGACCAAATACGTCACATTTTGCGCGCTTTCGGTACTGCGGGTCGCCCTCGTCGGTGGAGGAGGTTTCCGCGTCGTCCGGTTAAAATATGACGCACTGATATTTAGTTACTCTCTCCGTGCCCGCTGGCTTGCCCCAACCCCAAGAGACGTGGAAACCGCAAAAAAGGTAGACGCTTAAATATGATTGCAGGGCCCCTTTAAGCGCTACGACTTTGTGCGGCGTTGCCCACAGATGGTGCATTTTTTTGTAAAATTTGAAAAAAAACGAACTTACCTGAGGAAAAAGTAAAGAAAGAAAAAGGCTTAGCTCCTATGGAAACGCAGCGAAGCCACCGGTCTTAAAACAACACGGCGCCGTTTCGCACGGGAAACTAGAGATGGCACAAGCGGTCGCGACGCCAACTGCCGCCAACGAACGAGCATACGACGCCTAGAGCCGGCGTCTTTAGCAGACAAGCAACTGCAGTTCCCTGTTGTTACCACGCCTGTTTTTGTCGCCGCCTGCGGAACGCGCGCCGCTTTTGAGTCGAAAAGATCGCGCGCTAAAGACGCCGGCTCTCGGCGCCGTATGCTCGTTCGTTGGGGTTGTTCGTTGCGCCATCTCTTGTCTCCCGTGCAAAACGGCGCCGTGTTGTTTGAAGACCGTCGGCGTCGCTGCGTTTCCATAGGAGCTAAGCCTTTTTCTTTCTTTACTTTTTCCTCAGGTAAGTTCGCTCTTTGCAAATTTTACAAAAAAAAAAAAAAAAAAGCATTATCTGTGGGAAATGCTGCACAAAGTCGTAGCGCGATAGGTTAAGAAACCGAATTTCGCGGTCGATTTAAAGAGCCTGGCCTCTCCTTGAATTACCGGGTAGGTTCAAAGACTGCCACCCTGTTTTTCCCGAATTTGCAGACGGTAACAACGGGCATCACCTGCGAACGAGTCATACTTGTGATAAAGGTGAAGAGGCCAAATGACGCTGACAAAGCGATGCATCGCTACAATCTTCTCGTCGAAAAGCTGAGTGGAAAGGTAAGACACCGCTAGTTCGCTACGGTCACTGGCGAGCTGAGGGCGCCAGGGAGGGGCTGCAGCTGTCCGGCCTCCGACGCGAGCTTCCTACCTCCGGCAATGCTTGGGCACCTGGTGCACTTCAAGCGTGCACGTGCCAGAGGCCTGTCGTTCGAAAAACCCGCCCTGTCATTCTCATTGGGTCAGTAACTATAAAAAAAAAAGAAGAAAAAAAGTAGAATAAAAAATGTATTTTTTTCTACAGTATTTAAATGGAACCTATGTTTTTTTCCCCTAAAATTTTCACGAAAAACTTTTTTTGTTGCAATATTTACGACGTTAGGTGCAGTTTTGGTGAAGTTCACCACCCGCTTTAGGTGTCCACAGCACGGTTGCCCCGCCCATGACTACTGGATTGGCTTCTGTTCGGCTGGACACGTTCACAAGTGTCTCCCTGTCGCGACGTCCGGTGCGTCTGCCGGATGACACCAGCTGCTAGTCGGTGTTATCATCGGCATCGTCTGCTTTTTTCTTGCGTCCAAGAAAGTGGTCCCTCGATTTCCGCCCGATGACGTCATACAAGTGTCATGCTGTCGCCAGTCGCAATCCTGGCGGCGTCCCAACAGCTGTGCTGTATGCGGCAGGCGCCTGTTCTTCTGCAGGTCGCTCTCCAGTGGCAGTTCAAGGGAACTTCGGCAGTCAGACGCCGTGACGACAGCGACACTCGCGCTCGGGTGTGCTACTCGCAGCTTCTCATTAGCATTTCTACGACTAATTGTCAGGATCGCGAGCGACATGCAACGGCATGACACTTCGGCTTTCGTGACGTGACTCCAAGACCCTTTTGTTGTATGGGCAGCATATATAGGACGCTAAACATACCAGTCGAAGACATTCTCCAGGCTACCACCCATGGAACGCCCGTAAGACGCAGCCACGAAAACGGTGCGTCTGCGTCCGCCATCGCTTGTGTCCGTCTGCTATCCCCCCCCCCCCCCCACCCCCCCTTTCCTCTCCTCTAAAACCGTTTGCGACGCTCGCAAGACGCAATCATGAAACGGCGTTCTAGCATGCACGAGTCAAGGTCTAACACAAGTCTGTCAGCGTCTGTCGATATGCGCTAAAAAACGACCAAAAGAACTAAAAAGAAAAAAAAAAGTCAGCAAAATAAATATAAAGATTTTTCAGATTTTCTGTCCGTGTTTCCTTCCATAGCGTCCGCGAGCAAGGTGGGTGAGCATCATGACGAACGATTGAAACGCTAAAAGCTTCTAGAGCTGCTACCTTCCAAAGGGAAACCACGAGACCTGGACAAACCTGGTTCGAGGCGAACACCCGATTTTTTCCCGCCAAGTGGCTCGCAATTCTTACCTGTGTAGGAATTACCTCTTGGTACTGAAACGACGGTCGCCATCCCAATGGTTCCACGATTCTCAAAGTAGGGAGGCCGCTTTTACGGGATCCGACACATTTATATTCAGCATCGAAACGCGCAAACGAACAAATCAAGCCAGTCAAAGCAAAATAGTTAACGTGGGACGCTAGGTTTACGCCAGTCTCACGACGAAAACAAGCACTTACACAGCGCTTCCGAAGGTGTCTACTTGCCCACAGTAGTTTGCTGTGAACTACGTCGGTTGAGTATATCTTCCTCTAAGCACCTGGGTTAACGCGAAACTACTCTTTCTCTCGTAAAAACAAGCAAATTCAGCGAGCTACGCTGTGTGAAACCACTCACCGCAAACGCCGGCAGCCAAGTTTCTTCGTTTGAAGGATAAACGGAAAAGACGATCTCGTGAAATTTTCGAAAGCAGCAATGATCCTGTTTTTCAAACTCAAAAGGAAAAGTCAAATAAGAAGACTGCCGTGGCTCAGAGAAACAATTCTATACAATGGACCATGCCACACATCAATCATCTCTCCAATAAATGAGAGCCGAGAAATGGAGCTTGGCTTGCTACTCTCCTGGACGGGGCTTAGAGCGTTCTACCTCGACCTAAATTGTTTCTAAAAACGTATAATTATTGAACAAAAAATTTGAAAAAACAAAAAACAAACAAACAGATGTGTGTTTTCAATAAGATCTTTAAAAATGTTTTGTTTCTTAGATATATGCCATTTTTACTCGGCTGCTGCCATCTTGAATGGTGAAACTTTCCATATGGGCGAAAACATTATTTCGCTCTTATCATGCTCTCAGAAAGTTTTCGCGTTTTGATATATATATATATATATATATATATATATATATATATATATATATATATATATATATTTATTTATTTATTTTAAAATGCCATTGTTTCTTGTTTGTCTTCATCTATAACTTTTACTTCTCCACGTTGAATTTTTTTTTATTTTCTTTTTGTCATCCATACTTAGGATTCTGCGTTTTCGAATAAACCTGAGACCCTCCCACCCTCTCTCCCCCTCTCTCTCTCTAAAAAAAAAAACACTTGTTGGTAAAATTTGTATTTATCCGATAAACTCCGAATTTCGATATCCCAAGGCAATAAAAAACGAATTAAGTATGCTTAGAATACAGGGGCAATGGTCCTGAGCAAATACGACCTTAGTTTCCTTTCAAATCGCCGATCATTGACAAAAAAATGGTCTTGCCGTTTATCTCGTCAAAGTTCATTCGGACGCATGTTATTGTATGCTTCTAGGTTACGACGACGGAAGCTACTGTTCCGGTTTCCAGTTCAGCCATACTATTTGTGCTTCTTCACCCTCTATTCCACCCTCTACCACTCCACCCCGCGCAGCCGCATGGTAGGCTGATGAAATGGGCTGGGGATGAAAACGAGCTTCCCACCGACTACCTGCAGGACTTGGGGGGTTTTAGCGGTGCTTATCGAAGCAGCCCTTGTTTGCAAGTCTTGTTGTTGGACAGATTAGTATTGTCAATAGCAAGACCGCCAACGCCAAATCCAGGCTCAAAATTATTATTCGTTACAAGTATTTTTTTTCTCATTTAGCACATTTTAACATTGTTCTTATGTGGGAATCAAACAAAAACAAATTCCGATAAATTCCGAATTTTTGGCAAAAAATCAACTCCGAAAACACGGAACCCTACACGAGTAAGCGAAAAAGGTCCACACACTTTGTGTCGGCATGCGATGGACTGAAGGTCGAAGCTACGGGCTGCCAGGTCCGATCGCAAGCCAGTGAGAAACCACCCGGTATATCGCTATGGCACGCATACCGTTTTGAGCAGGCTCGGGATTTAATCTGGCGGCCCGTAGCATTGGCTTATAGTCCATCGTACGCTGACACAAAATGTAGTGTTCATGGGGACCAGCTTTGGTTGTTTTTTTTGTTTTTTTAATTATTATTGCAAAGCAATGCATTCATTTCTTGACCCTCTAAAGGAAAGGCTGAGCTGTTTGACATCTTAACCCTGAAGAATCATATTTGTGGCTGTCTTGCTACGACAGTAAAGTGATTAAGTGAATTCTTAAGTTTTCTATAATCATTGCCCGAATGATAGCTGTGGTTTTACAGTTGTGAATTAGAGGGTGTCCGTATTTCAGCTCAAGGTCTGCTGCATCAGCACGGAGCAACTTTTCGTCGTGCGCTTCGTTCAGCGACCCGACATTAAGGTCTCCCTGCAGTCGGGAACTGGAGAAAACGTAAGCGTGTTTTCTTTATTGGCTTTTCCCTTTTTGTTTTGTTTTGACAATTTCCGAGTTTGTAGTTGTGGGCACTTGTAGAAGAATTAAGCATAAATGACGTTTGTTGGTAGTACGCTATGCATTGCACATCAGAATGATGAATATTTTAGCAAACTGCCGTAACTTGTTGTCAATGTTTCGTTAAGGAACTTGACTCTGAAGTAGACAAGGTCTCCTAGAGGTATGTCGGATGCCACTCTGAAAGTTTTTAAGTTCTCTCCACCAGCTTCGATAACCCCCAGGATGCACATCCCCATAATGGACTGTGTTGTAATTTCATTTACATATTTGTGAAAATGGGGTTTGCAGCGTGTACCTGTCTAACAAATATTTATATTACATGTCTTAATGAAAGTCCACAATGGTATAGTGCTCATACCTTATCCACAATGTCTCCACCAAATGTTGAGATAAAATAAGTAATGTTTTGAGGTAAGTTGGAGCGTAACAATGTAAAATTAAACTGAAAAAAAAAAAAAAAAACGGCCACACTAGGGTGTAGTAAGGTGAAACTTCCCTTCGTAAATAAATTTATTAGGCATGTGCACATAGTGGGTGTTGAGTTCGAAACGAATCTGAAGCGAATAGTGGTTTAGGCCAGATATCTTCGAAATGAATATCAAATATTATCTGCCAGTCGTTCACTACTTTCGCACCACATTTGAACGAAGACCCAGCTGAACTTGAGTCAGTTTTGATCTAACCATACGAGTTGTGTCTTCAGACGGTCGAATGCTTACATTGGGGTGGCAAGGAAACGACGGACTTGACGTGAAATATAACCTGCAGAGATGCCCCGCCATAGGCCAACGCGCTGTTTCCAAACAGGCCCTCACGAGGCGTGGGCAAAGGCGCACTTTCCGCGCGAGGTGTGGGCACTGCGCGTGCGCAGAAATCGCGTCAAGTGGAGCGTCTGCACATGTGCCCTGCTAATTGCAGCGCTACCGCAGCGGCTAGAGTTCCTCGATATGCTCCCCCGAAGGGGGAGCAGAGTTGCGCATTTGTTTTCCCCGCACCGCCACGCCGTTCTTCGCCGAGATCCATCACGCGAGGAGCAAAGCGTCCGGCGCCGTGCAAAAAAGCCACCTTTTTTACGGTCTGTCCGCCGACGTTTCTCGCGCCCCGGCGTATGTTCCCCTGCTTCCCGCCTCCTGTTTTCCATGCGCGGCGGAGTGCGCAGCGCCGCTATTCGCCAAATTTAGTCACGTGAGGAGCAAAGCATCCAGGGCGTGCGGGAAAAGCCGGCGCTACGGTCACTCGGCGAGGCTGAATGCGCAACTCTGCTACCGTAGGTAGCTATATACAGGAACTCTAGCATGGATGGATGGATGAATCCGGCTGAGCCCTTTGGATCGGGCGGTAGCTTACGCGACCTAGCCATTTTGTTTTACCATTTAAGCTTAGAATATTTAAATGTGAAATCTATATTCACTCCGCACTGCAAAGAAAGTGAGGCTATAAAACCCCCTTGCCATCAGTTAATAAGAAAATGCCCAATTTTCTCTCGCTTTCTGCCACCATTCACTTAATCTTTGCTCGGTAATCTCTACATTCTTGAAATCCACTCTCCCTTCGCTGTCTCTAAAGCCCAATGACTTTATTAAATCTATGTCTAATCGAGCATGGATGGATGGATGGATGAACCCGGCTGAGCCCTTTGGATCGGGCGGTAGCTTACGCCACCTAGCCATTTTGTTTTACCATTTCAGCTTAGAATATTTAAATGTGAAATCTATATTCACTCCGCAGTGCAAAGAAAGTGAGGCTATGAAACCCTCTTGCCATCAGTGAATAAGAAAATACCTAGTTTTCTCGGCGGTGTGACCTCAGCGCCGTCTATTGGTGTATTCGTAAACCTTCTTGCTATACGCTAGAGTCCTTTCTTCAATTTCGACTTTGAAGAAAAAAAAGAAAAGAAAATAAAAAAAAAAACATTTACGAATGATGCATGTTAGCTTTGAATAATTTATTGATACACCAGGCGCGAGCGTGCATCCTCCCGCTTTGGTGTTCCAAGTGTTGCTCGGGGCGCGTTAGCCCCGTTAAGCGCGCTTCTCACCGAGCACCCGTGCACTGCGGAGAAGCAACACCCACTGAGCTCGCTTTTGCGGGTGTTGCTTCTCCGCAGTGCACCGGTGCTCGATAAGAAGCGCGCTCAACGGGGCTAACCCGCCGCCCTAAACACTTCGAACAAAAAGACGGTAATCGCAGTTCATCTTCAAGTGAATATCGAATAGCGTATTATTCTAAACTAATACTTGAAAATTCCAATATTAGCGCTCTCCTAATATTTACACATGGGGTCGGTTGTTTTGCACCAGGAAATTTTCAAGAGCAGCTCTTTTGTCTTTTCAAAGGATTAGACAGAATATCCTTAGTTTTCGAATGACCAGTCAAAGTTTAGGAGGAAAGAAAGCTGGATTAACAGCGGTGGAGTTAATCTTTAAAAAAAGATATTAATGTTGCAGCTTAAATACATCTTTAAGGAGAACTTGAAGTTGATAGCCTGAGGAAGCAAATTTCTGGCTGGTAGTTTTGTCATGTACAGGTAAGAAATAGTATTTGGGACACTCACTCTGAAAACTTAAGACTACATTTAAAACTTCACAGTGTGTGCTTATACCAGTAATATTTGGTAATAATTCGGTAATAATTCTGTAATAACTAGCATATTAAATTTAGTAGTTTAAAAAGTCTTCAAGATAGCTTTTATTTATTTATTTATTTCCCGATACTGCTAGCGTCATCGAGACTGTAGCAAGTTTATGGCTTCCTATTCATTTTAGCAGAAGAGAAATTGGCGGAAAAAAATGTGTGCAAGTGAGCGAGAGAGGCAAGTAAATATGGGCATTCGATTCTGGGGTGGTATAGGACACAGCCATCTTTTGGTGCACAAATGGAGACGGGCAGCCTAATGTACAGGGACTGCGAGGTGGAAGCTCATGGTCGGTAGCAGAAGAACCACCTATCTCTCGCGCGTGATTATCTTGTCAGGGTGACATGGGGTCCCTACGACGTCTTGGGTCATAGGCTGCCGCATTATTTTTTATGTCTTCTCGGTTTGCTGCTTCTGAGGTTGATGACCTTTTTCTGCTCAACTTCCAGCAAGCCCAACTAAGGGGATTATTTGTCGCCAAAGGACAATCCCTTTCTTCTCGTTTCATTAAGGGAGGGGACCATCCTGTCAAGGGAAATGTTGATAGTAGTCGAAGAGCTCATGGAATGTGAACTGCATGCATATTATGTACTTGTTTGTGAAATGTGGCTGTGTATCAAAAGTGAAATTCATTTTTCATGCTTGATTAATATAAAGGGGTAATTTTAAGTACTATTAAGCCAAAGTGTTAATTTAAAGTACTATAATAAGCCAAAGTGAAGAAAACTATTTTCTGGTTCCTTTAATAGTTCCTGCCTTCTCCATTGCCTGCAATCGGTGCACTCCCGTATTTTGGATTCTGAAGGGGTCATTTTGGCATGTTTGACATAAATTTAGCAAACTAATGCAGAAATTAGACTTGTTACCCTGTACTTGTACGCAGGCGTGTTTGAGGTCAAGTGCGGATGTTTGAGGGGAGGGGTCCGTGCTTTTTTATTTTTTATTCAGAAGCCACATTCAGTCGATCAACGAGCTCTGGACGACATCATCCTCGAATCGGTGGTGGACGCTCTCTCGTACACCGTGACCGACCTCTCCTGCTCCGGCCAGAAGGACTTCCCCAACTTCAAGCACAGGGAGCCGGTCTCTGAGATCATTCAGCACACCCAGCTCGATCAAATGGTACGTTTTTGCAGGCATATTTACCGGACATGAAGCGAGAAAAATTAATAGTGTTTTTTGCTCGGACAAAAACGAGCTGCGCGTTGCCAAAGGCTTTGCCTCTGCTAGAATCTAGTGCGTGCAGGTTGGGATGAGGCGCAAAAGTTTCCGACCTTTGGGTTAGCGGAGTAAAAAGTTGGAAGAGAAAAACTGATATTACGTACAGGAGGGCACTGTTGAGCCACAGAATCTGATGAAGGTTTCTGCATCCCTCGGATGGCACCACTGTCGATGACAAGTAATAGAGAGCCTAGACTTAAGAGAGAGAGCAGCTCAAACCATGGAAGCCTTTGCTGTTTAATGGTGGACACCTCCTGTGCTGAATGGTTACAAGTGCACAGGCGCTGCGTTATTGCGTGGCAAGTAGAAAAGCGGGCGGAAAGGCGGAGACGCTTGCGAATGTTTGACACTTTTGACACCTCCTTGCAGGCCGTGTTGCAAACATAGCCCATAAACCACATGACTCTGATCGAGCAGTTGGAAATACTCTCAAATCTAGGCTTTAACGAGTGGACATGAATGAAGACAACTGCATCGATGTTCACATTCGCTTGTTACTGCTTGTCATTGACACTAGTGCCATCCGAGAGATACTGGGGAAAATGGAAGCATTTGTGGCTTTTGAGGACTGCACCATATGGAACCGCCTGCATATATTTACCGTAGAATACCGCGCATCCACCCATTCCACACTAAGCGCCCATTCCCAAATTCGTAGGATCTGAGAAAAAATGCGCAGTACATTGACATGTAAAATTGATGACCGGATAAGCGCTTATTCCCCATCGTTTTCACGATTATCTCTAAATTTTGAGTGGGCGTTTACCCAGTATTTTAAGGTATGTGCAATAAAACCTCTCTGTAGCAGAGACTGAAACTGTAGAGATATGGGTACAGTGAAGCAAAGCAATGTTTGCATACTACTAGCATATTTCAGGTACTGACCATAGTGAAGGTGCTTGTAGATTGTGTATTTCTCCTGATAAAACTGACTTTACTAGATGCTCTATTGTATTGAAACTCCTAGAAAGAAGTATGAAAACTGATTCTAAAACGAACAAACAAAGAGTTTGCAATTTTATTGGTCTATGAGGTTTGTTTTGCATATGCGTCTATTTTCACATTTCTATGATACTTACCTTTTACGGTTTGATAGCTCTTAAAACGGTGCTCTTCTGTGGTTTCTCAGAATTCGGTGCCTTCGCTGGCGAAGCATGACCAGCGGCTTTTGGTGAAGGTCATCAAGGCATCCAACTTGGCTGGCACAAAGGGTATGTAAGGTGTATCTTACTATGGTACAGAAGGGCATCCATAGCTCTTTATTTCATCCCGCATGGGCCCTGCACCAATCTTTGGCAAACTTTGGTGGCAAAAATGGAAGCTCGAGGGTTCCAAGAGCCATTGCCGATATATTTTTCTAAGTATGTAGCCAGACTTGCTTCCTAAAATGAACATTTGCATGGGCAGCTGCGGGGGTGGGGGGCAGGATGATGTCAGCTACCCCTACGGCTGGTCTTTGTAGTGCATGCATCTATTTCCATCTCTCTATGTCCTGCAATTCCGTGTAGATTATTGTTCTTTGCGAGAGAAAGCAATTACTTCTGAAAGTTCTTTTGAGCAATTCCACATGGTGTGCCATTTTGAAGCATTTATTTCGACTGAGAATAATTTTTTTTTTGTTGCTCTGTATGGAATATTTGATGATCAATAATGATTGGAGACGTTCAAGTTCACTACCGGTTGCCTGCATGCCTGTCTTAGCCACTACTGTTGACGCTTGATTATTAATTTTGTACTGGGACAAGTATTCTAGTCACAGATTGATGATTCTCTGTAGCTTTTCATTGAGTAGGTACGTTTGTCCTTTAGCCTTTCCACGAAACATTTGTGTTATCTATATGCTTCGGCGTGACAAACTTTGTCCGCTTGCAAGAGCCCAATGATCAAATGTGCCCACACTGTACACTGCGTTTTGGCCACTTTTAATCTGTAATGCTCATAAGTAAAAGACCCTGGACAGGAGTCTTTCTGTTGCCTTCTGAGCAGCCAAAAAGCAAATTTATAAAGTGGCTCTGTGTCCACCCAGGTTGCAAGGAGGTGTACTGCGTAGTGGAACTGGACGAGCCCCCGCACCGCTGCACCACGACCTCGGCCAAGGAGACGGCCAACCCGTTCTGGGATGAGCACTTCCTCTTGTGAGTCGCTGCCGGTCACCCGCTGGGCTCGCTTTCACTTGGTTCCAGCAGGTGGCTTCACAGTTCCAAACCCAAGTCCACTGTTTCAAATCCAGCTCGTACACTGTATCGTAATTGAACATTGCATGTTTTTTGTCATCAAACTTATGACATTGACTAATTAGTTTAAAGAATGAGTTGTTTTTGCTGACCCGGGGTTCTGACAATTTCCTCTGTCGAGTTGTCTCTTTTTTTTTTCTTACCTAATCTCGCTGCTTTGCATTCACCCACTTCTGTCCACAGTGTGGATATATTTCTCTTCTTGACAGATTGGGTTCTCACCAAAAAGCATGTAAAGTTCACACATGATGAGTTATCAGTGTTCCATTCCTCATGCTTTTTCTTCTGCCCTCTGTGCAAGGCACACATTTAGTGTCTGGTTCAAGCCCCATCTTTCCCATCCTCGGTTATGTTTACAAATCGACTGCTGATGATTCCGTCGTGACCTGCTTTTCAGCACCCTCGACCAAAATTCGTCGGAGGTGCTCTTTGAGCTCTACGACAAAAGCAAGCCTGCCGGGGGTGAGTGGATTTTTGACGGATAATTTTATAAAGCTAGTAGATGACAGTGGGGATAGCTGGGTCGATCTATTAGGAAGGCGAGACAATATATATTTTATGCGTTTATTTGTTCATCGAAAAGTGTAAAAACCCAAAGATATCTGCACTCTTGTTTTTCTGGATCACTGCAGAAAGTTTTGTTCATATCTAGGCTCTCCCCCACTCGACTCCACTGATGCCTGGACTCATAATCTGTTGCAAGTAATTTGAAACAGGAAATCAAACAGCCTGCGACATATATTTATCGTGGCGTATCGGAGACTCGAAACTCGATTTACTTGTAGCCTCCACATAAATCTGCTTTCTCCGGATGACACGGATTATAGGAGTTTGCCAGTGACGCCCCATGCTGACTGCACTGCTCTTCCGCTTACTTCTTTTCCTCCAGAAAACTTCCTCGGCCTTGGCATTGTGGGCATCAGCGAGCTCAGGCGGGTGCCGAGTCAGCGCCAGATCATCACCCTGCAGTCGCGGCCTCTGGAGTACGACAACATCACTGGCTCCCTAACTGTAGAGGTGAGTGCCTCTCCTTCTTGCTCCAGGGGTCCGATTTTGATCAAGGGGAGAGCAAGAGCGTTCTCGGCTGCCGATTGGACGTGGCACCACAGATCAAGCGTAGTCAACCAACGAGATATATTTTACTTTTTTGCGAGTTCAACAATTAGGAAATATTTTGGTTGGGACGTCTCGCCAACTTACAAATAGCGTAAGGGGTATGACTGCCTTTGATGTACTTGTCCTTAGTACTCCTTCATCAAATAAGTGGCAGCTGGTGTACAGCAGTAGAAGAACCTGAGAGTTACAAACGAACCGCACATTGTTAATGACTCTGAACGTGAAATAGCAAACACTCACATAGTCTTCTTTCAGCCTCACTTCGCCAGGGCTCTCTGTTCGTAGCAGACGATACACTTTTTTCTAGTCTGTTAGCACACAATATGCGGCATTTTCTTGTTTTATTTCCCTCTGCGAATGGTGCTTCCTACCGAACAAACTGCGTTCTTCGCTTCCATAACCGACAAACAGTCTGCAAACGCTATCTTTGTTCACCTTGCGAGAAGTGAATTAGATCTCGCTCTCGCGGTTTCCAAAATCGGATCCCAGGTGCGCTGCTGCACATTGTGTCAAAAGGGCCTTTGAGAAGGTGGGCTTGCATGCCTTGATTTTAAAGGGGTGCTGAAACAAAATTGTAGCACTCGTTTTATTGCCTTAATGTCGATATATGTTGTGGAAACATCGAAGACCAATTTTTGGGTTGAAAAGACACCAAAACTTGATTGAAAATCAATAAACCTGGTGAATGCTCTCCAAGTTCCTTGAAACGTCGTTATATCAATTGCACCGTTAAAGCAGCGCTGCCTCGCGTAAGTACGGCGCTAAGCCCTTTACGCACATAACCTTGTAAACCCTTCTCTCCCATGGCTATTCAAGTCTTGCGTTTAGGGAATAGAGAGGAAGATGGGGAGAGGGGGTCAGTGTCGTTAGGCCCTTCGGGTGCTGTTGAGTCCCTTCGCCTCCTCCGCTCGTGTGATTCAACCAGTCATTGGACATCATGAACGGCTGGGTTGCAACGCATTGACGCCACCAAGTTGCGAAGTGCATAACCATATGCCAGCCTTGCCATAGACCTGCCCGTGCTGGGACGAATGATGTCACGAATGCGCCAAATCTCTTAAGACACATCGTGTTCTTTAATGGCTGCTTTTCGAGTGCCTGCGAGAATTGACTGTTTAAAACGTCTATAACTCCTTCTGACATCTATCTTCTCGTTAGCTCAGTTGGTAGAGCGCTCCACTGGAAATGGAGAGGTCCTTGGTTCGATACCAGGACCAGGTGGATTTTTTCGGTGGTGCACCAGTCACCTATAGCTGTGTTTGTCCTTTGTCCCCTTGTTCCCCTTCTCTGGGGATTATTTCCGAAAAATATATTTTTCCCGACCGGACAGTTCTTTCCTCCAACAAAACAATAAAGGAAATGTTTATCTCGTGGTGTCAGATAATCCACTTCAACTGACTTGGTGGAGGTTACTTCACACGCTGTAGCTTGAGCTAGTTCAAAAGGCTGGTTTACACACTTGTGACTCCTTGCGATAGATTGCCTCAAAACCTCTTGCGATTTCTTACGAGTAGAGAGGTCTGTACTACAAATGGGTGTCCAACTGCTCGATTGGGGTCATGTGGTTTATGGGCCGTGTTTTGCAATATGAGCTGTGTGGAGCTGCCCAAAGCACTGAGCGTCTGCAAATGTTTCCGCCTTTCTGCCTGCTTTGTTCCTCGCCACACAAAAACGCAGTGCATGTGCACTTAATGTGTTACCAATCTCTGCAGGAGGCATCCGCCATTAAATTGCGAGAGCCTCCCTTGGTCCAAGGTGGACCCTCTCCAATCTAGGCTCTCTGACGACGAAAGATCACACTGGTGACATCGATCAAGTAGACGGGAAACACCTGGAATTCTCGTATAAATTCTATTTTTTTGGCACGTCATTTTTTCTTGGCTCAAATAACTTTCGACAATGTTATAAACAACCATTTCTCATAGATAGTATGTATCTCGCAAACACCGCAATACCTTCACTCTGGCAAATGCAACTCCAGGGCCACCTCATAAACAGCTCCAGCGTGCCAGTGTTTTCTCGTCGTAAGAGATTGCAAGAAGTGGGTCGTAAGCAAACGAAAGTGTGTGAATGGGCCTTAACATGTGAACATGCAAACATAATAACATATTTCTCTTTTTTTTTGTCTCAGTTTCTTTACATGGAGGGGTCCCAGATCCCCGTGACGGCAGACTCTCAGATGGCGACGGAATTCTCTCAACAAAATCGCATCGTGGAAAAGAACAGCCGAATCACTTCGGATGGAAGGGTCATCACCACAACTACCATCAAGCGATCGCCGACGACTGAGAGTGAGTCATTTATTATTTATTTAATTGTTTACTCAGTCCTTTGAGATCTTGAAGCAGCGTTGTGTGCAACGTCTTGCAAAAATTATGTTAAAGGGCAACTCCGCTCAATTCCAAAGATTTTGGGATAATGAGTAATTTCGAATTAAAAAGCCCTAGTAAAAGACACTACGTCGTTTGCTTCGCGAAAAATGAGATATATATTTTTAAATCTAATTTTAAACATGAGCGGAAATCGAAACCGAAACTTCGACTCCGTCCGGCAACATTGGCCTCGGGCCGCCAAGTACATGGCCATCACGTGGTACGAGGTGTCACGTGATCCTCGGCCCAACGACGGGCGGGATGGGGGTTGGCGGGCGTGCGGCAGGCGCGAGTGTCGTCTGCACCGCACTCTTCGCCACGTTTTGGTGTCTACGGCATTCGATGACGTCTGCACAACTGCGGCATAAGTCTGCGACTCTGCGCATGTGGTGTCCATAGTGTGGACGAAACTCCGAGAGGATGATGATAATCACAAACGGTGAGACGACGACGGTGGTTGTGACGCGGAAGACGGCGGTAAAGGCGGGGCCACGGCGGGCGGTTGGTCTGCTCCCAAGAAGCGCGCTGCGCAGGCGCGTACGCCAATCACGTGGACACCGCTGAGCGCCGAGAGGCAACGTTGCTGACGTCATGCGCTACGCTCGATCGGTGAAGTAAAAACAAGCAAAAGAGGGCCATGTTGATGACGTTTAGCTCAATGTTGGCTCCGCCCATGCCGTAGCCTTGACTGCGCTGTTGGTTGCGCCTGAATTCGCCCGCTCGAGTCAGCCGATTTTGGCAACTTGGCGAGTTGCAAAGTTTGCCGGACCGTTTAAGAAACATTTAGACAGAACTGCGTGGTAATATTTGACGTGTGGTCTTCCTAGGCGATACTGAAGAGGACTGCATTGTTTTTTCAAAACCGAAAATGAAGCGGAGTTGCCCTTTAAGAAAAAAAAAATATATATATATATTTGTAATTATGTTTAATTTAAACCTAGTACTCATTTGACTCATGTTGAAATGTGTATTTTTCTTTTTTTTTACCTATATTGTGCATTTAAACTTGGGAAACTGATCTGAATTGCTGTCTTTCGCACTCTCTTCAGAACTGCATCACGCTAAAGATATTTGTTTTTTTGTCAGTCTTGTGTCTGGCTGCATACCCAAATGTTTTGCACATGCTGCATTCTTCTTAAAAGTGTGCCACAAGTTTGGATCTTTTGAGAGTTATTCTTCTGGTTGCCTGCAAATAGGACTTGAGGAATGGCTCCATGGCTCTACACAAATCAATTTCACATTGGAGGCAAAACCGAGTAATATTGATCAATAAAAATATTAATACCTATCGCAATTCTAAAACAATGATAACAGTGAATGTTGCTGCGACGATTAAAGGGCAATCCATTGGGTCATAGCATTGGCTTGCTCTCAGTGTCGGCACAGGGTTGTGATCTGGAGAAACTAAGGTAATTTCTTGAAATATTTCTAAGCATAAATTTCGTGTAGTAAATTCCGAAAATGAATGTCCGCCCCTGAGAGATCTCCCATCTCATTTTATGGGTGAATATTTGTGGCGGAAACACCGGCGAGGCGGCCAAATCCATGCGACGTCAGTGTCTGCAGTAGTTGTTCCCGCATCCAGTGGGCCTTTTTGTAGCAGGTGCCGACATGTTTATTGCTCATTTTTGCTTAAAATTGCTCTGTCTTATCCCAAGTGGTCACTTACAAGATATGCTTTTCTGTTTATTCCTTCCTGGTGGGTGGGCATTAATTTGGGATTTTACGTAGATGCAAAAGCCGTTTTCATTGTGGTCTCTTGGAAGTTTGTCGAGGCACACTTTTATAGTAACCAACCAAAGGCTGAGGCAATCTCAAATTAAAGCACGTGTGACAAAGCATTTATCGAGGGGCTTATGTGTATAGCATGTCAGAAGATATAGATGGTCTTAACAAAATGTCAGCAGCTCTTCTGTATCTTCTATGGTGATTTTCATTCAAATACAGTGTGAGCCAAGTTTGTTTTCGTCACGCTGATATATACGCGTTTATTCAAAACTTGAAAAAATCTACCTTTTAGATCACCAGCGATACTTTAGCAGCACGAAGACAAAATTATGCAAACAATCAAATGGTGGTGTGCCATCCAAAGTATTTGCAACCCGAAACGAGATGCCGCCGTCTAAAGGCACACTTGGAGTAGGAGAAATGGGGGCCTTGCACCATTTGAGATGTGCATTGGAAACTTGCCCACCAGCTAAACCATGAAACGAAGGAGCTGTGAATAGTAAATGAAATATGTTTTGCTTACCTTTGCTGAACTTTTACCTGGAGCATTATAGTAAAGATGTTCACGCTGTAGCAGGTAGCGGTCTTGGGACCTGTTTTTGTGCAGAGATTAGCCAAAGTACCATGAGACATTGCTGTTCTTAGTATATATACTATAAACTGTCGAGCCTTCCTATAGTAAAGACTGGCATAATGAATAGCAGTTTAAGCATATGCTTCTAATACTGATGCAGATATTTGACATACTAATAAAATTAAAGATATTTTCTACAAAAATTGACTTTTCTGTCCAGAGACACTGTAGTTTTATAATCAAATTTCCAGACAGCTGGTCACTTGTATAGTACGCTTTTTGTGTCCCAGCTTAATGCTTTAAAGCATATGTTATTAGCTAGCTACTTGCTTTGTAGGATCATGCTGCAAACCCTTCCTGGAGTTTGCTGGTGATGTGGTATTTCTGGAGCTTACTTAAAATCAGAATCTTTTCACAGTATAGATCACTGTGAATGTGGGACATGGGAAACGACTATTTTATTGCTGGTATGGCTTGGGTTTGCTTGGTGTGCATGTAGGAGTGGGACTATCAGTCTCTGGTCTAGCAGATTCGTTCTGCAATTAACAAATTCATAACAATTCTGCGGCTGTTTCATACCTTTCTTTGCTACTTCATGGAAGCCCATTCCCTGCTTGGTTACCGATTTCTGCAAGCTGTGCATTGGCGAAGAGGAGTGTTTAATTGTGTAGTACTTATGTTGTCAGTGCCATACTTTTTTTTCACAACCCAGATGCCTAAATATTGTTCAATTAGTGACTATGCGTTAAATGTACTAGAAGTTTTTTTTGCCTATATACTCATATTTTAATCCAAATTATGATTCGAAATTCGTTGTTCTACGCAATTTGTGTGCAACTACAGAGTTTGTACTAAGTAGACCAAATAATTTATATAAAAAAAGCCTCAATTTAAGAAGTGAATGGTTCAAATAAGTACAGTCAAATTTCATTATAACGAACGTCTTTAATAGGAAAATGCCCTTTCAACAAAATATACTAGGTATTGTTCCGACGATTCCCCATGACACCATATTGAGTTTCTGTTCTATAAATAGCAGAATACACGACCCAGCGATCTATAAATGAACAATCGCTAGTAACTTCCTAGGTACCAAGTATTTGATATAAGACAAAGTATCCTGCTCGCACACAGTGCAATAGCGATCTATAACAAATGAAGGTGTGTAACGTACGGGGGAAAATGCAGAGAATTGCAGCCTTTGCAAAAGCCTTTACTTATCTCTCTTTGTCCTAATATCTTCCATGCCTGGAAATTACACCAACAAGTTTGTAGAAGAGTTAGTGAAAATGAAGAACTGGCAGGTTATCTCTTGCGCAGCAGCTTGGGACTATTAATAACAAGATGCTGTTTGTCCAGGCACATGAATAATATGTGTCTGAACTGTTATAAAGTTACCTTAAGAATGGATTCGCAATGTTTGTTCCGAAATTTTCTCCCGAAAGGTTTTCTTTCTCTTTGCTATGATCAGTGGGCTCATTCGATTTACCTGCACCAGCCTGCACCAATGCAGAAAATTGCAGTGCAGTGTACTTCCAGTTTAGTTTTCAGATTGGCTGCACTTGTAAATCAAATATGGCAGTGTGTACCCTGGTGCAGGAGCGAAATCGAATGAGCCCAATGACACCTGATGCAAAAATATGTACTCGTTCAAAAAGCGACAGTTTCCAGACCAAAGGCATCCTAGTCGAATGTGGCCAATGCCGTGTTATTGTTGTTTTGTTATACTTTAGTGTTTGGAGAATTTATTTTTAGATTGGGTAAATCTATGCAGTCATTTCTTGACTTTTGCAAATTCATTCTTGGACATTCGAAATTTGCGTTGAATGCCATTCAAGTAAATAAGTAAATACTAGGGTTGTGCGAATATTCTAATTCTTTAATAGTCTCGAATACTATGCTATTTGATATTCGCTTTGAGATGGACTGTGATCTTCATATTTTTCTAAGTGCTGATTACGGCGGATTAGCCCTGTTGAGCGCACTTCTTGCCGAGCACCGGTGCACTGCAGAGAAGCAACGCATGCGGTAGCAATCTCTGTGGGTGTTGCTTCTCCACAATGCACCAGTTCTTGGTAAAAAGTGCACTCAATGGGACTATCCCACCGCAATGAACATTTGGAAAGGTATAGATATCCTAGCCACATAGGAGAAAGGTACACTTTCAAAACAGGATGGTAAACACACACTCCTAAAGTATTAAAAAAAAATGAAAATTTGTATATTTGCATTGCAGTAAAATTTTTAATATTAAACTGTGGCTATTACACAAGAATGCATGTTATGCAGAGTTGCCCCGACGAGCTGCATTCATTATTTGCGATTCTATCTTTTCTTTTCAAATTTGATATTGAAGAAAGGATATTTGCGTATTAACCAATAGTATTTATAAATCCGATCAATCAGGTATAGCTGGGAATCTCTCTAGCTTTAATTGTATATCAAATCTCTGATTTACTTGCCATCCCAATGTAGTCATCAGGCTTTCTGAGGCCACAGTCTCTAAATATAGTCAGATTAACAGCTTAGAAATCGACATGTTAAAGCTTAGGAACAACCTTCACAAGTTCAGTTGGGTTTTCATTTAGGCAGGGGGAGGGATGTAGTAAAGGGCTTGGGAAAACTATTTAATTTTGAATTAAAAAATATTTGGAGAAAACCACTTATTGGCATGCATTGAATTTGCTTTAAACTGAAAATACACTATTTGCACATGCCTAGCAAATACAACCAAGAGAGATCTATCTTTTGACACAAAAATACCATAATTAACCAATATATGTTGCAATTTTAATGAAGAATAGCTGTTGTACTAGGTTTGATGACATCTTTTTCGAAAACAGGGCACATAATCCCAGAGATGTGTCACTGTTCTGTACACCTGTTTGTCTCCCATGTTCTAATTTTCACATGAAATTTGTATACCAGACTGACTTGTACAACAATGGACATTTCAGTAGGTCCTTCAGAGTTCGTTATGATGTTGTTTGGCTGTATAGAGTTGTCCCCCTTTATTTATACTTGATAAAGTTGCAATATTGTTTTTGATACCACTATTCTCGCATCCGTGCATGCATGCCGCATGCATATTGATATTCTACTATCGAGGCTTTCTTAAACTCTTTTAGCAGACACTACTTGGCATCAGTAAATGTCAGTGGTATAGGTGACACTCAATGTTTGTTTATATTTTCTAAAGTGCAAGTAACCCCAGGTGCCCTCTTGTACCCCAGGAAATTCTCTTAACATCAAGGCATGAGTACAATGCATCTTTTAGGCTGTTCTCTGGTTCCACTTTTTATTTTTAGGCATTCCAGACTGCTACTACTGTTGTAGAATGGTGGCTGCATGTTGCGACTTGTTTTCTTGCATGCCACCCTGTTGTGACCACCTAGCTAAAACTCGACACCTCGAGAGACAAGCGGTTCTCGCCATTGAGGAAAAACTGAAGCTCCTGGAGCAGTCTCCGCCCAAACCGCTCGACGAATCCATGGTGGAGTTTCTCCGGAGTCAGATTTCCAATGGCTGCTCCGGGGCTGCCCCGGTGCACCAGGCGCAGCGTGATGGCCATTTTTCCGACGGTTCGGCGGACATGATGCCCTCCGCACACTCTCCCATTTTCCCGGAAGCCTCTTCTCAACCTTTGTTTGCGAAGGATTGCGATGACTTGACATTGTTACCGTCGAACATGTCAGGTGGATCTCCAAAGCAAGATGGCTGCCGAAGAGACGCTGCAGACGCCGACATCCCGCCTCCGCTGCCGTCTTCCCCGCCGCCGAATGTGTCTGGTCGGCAGAGGATGGCGAGTAGCTCCACCGACGACAACAGCAGTCTCGTGGTTGGTGGAGAGTTTGCTTCGCAAGGTCCATCTACTACGGATGGTCTTCTAAACGGAGAGAGGCAAATGGTGACCGTTGTTCTAACAACTTCGCCGCAAACGAGAACTAGCGAGAAGTCCGTTCTCGGCTCCTCGTCCGAATCGACGACCAGCGATTGCGGAGACCTGTATCAAAATGGGGCTGCACGAAAATGGGTGGAGCCAGAAGTGGATGGTTCGTACGGCAAGGAACCAAGGAACTCTGGCGGCTTTCCATTTCCAAGGGCCGACCAAAACGGGAACATTAGGCACGATGGTGAGAGTGCAACTTTTACCGGGAACGCTGGTCTCCTTCTCTGCGGTTCTTCTACTACTACTCTTTCTGGTGCACAAACCAATTTTTCACTCTCTTCACTGCTGCGTATTTTTCGTTGTGCCTGCATCTCCTTTTGTTGGTGTTGTGGTGGTGTCATCGTCGTTGTCCTGCGTTGCGTGGTCCTGGGTTGGCGCCGTCGCCCTTGTGCATTTGCAGCTGTTTGCATGCAAATGTGCCTCACGATGCGTGCTTGTTACCGTGCATGCATGCATGGATGTTTGACTAACCTGTTGGTGTATGCCCCTTTTTTTTCCACTAACTCGCCTTCATAAATTCTCCGAGAAAATGGAAAATCAGATAGTGTCTTGGTAGTACAGACTAAGGTTGCAAAAGTTACAGGGCCAGAAGCTTAAATGAACACTTACCCAGCTTGTGAAGATGAAAACTGCAGAGGCATAACTGCCTCACTACGAATGTAAAAAGATGCAGTCAGACAAGCGAGTCAGCTTTGCCCATGCAATTGTTGCAGTCATGCAATTGCTAGATGGATGGTTGATACAAACCTACAAGCTAATTTATAATGGTATATAATGCAAGCATGAGTATGTGTTATTGATTAGTTTGAAAATCATCCACTCAAGCACATGAGGAGCCCTAGCTACATATTCTAGTACTTTGTCTTGTGCATGTGTCAAGAAAAATGCCCATTGGACAGGAGGGGAGATCTTATGTGCCTAGCAGATACAGGTCTCATTTAATGTACTACTTGAGATGCTAAATTGCTATGATTTGACCACATTCTATGTAACGTGTAGTGCAAATTTTGGTAAAAAAAGTACAAGAGATGAGAGTACTAGCTTGCAATATCATAAGTCTTCTGTCGTTCTCGAACAAAATCTCAAGCTGTCGAGTTTTATTATTGCTCCCAATTATTTCTGGCTTTGCAGAGGTGCATGAAAGGTTGCTTTGTTATGTTCCAGCTGCTATATATATAAATTGTGCATATATGATAACAGCATTTTTATGACTCCAGTATTACTACCGTAAAGTTCCGAAAGAACGCCCACCCATAATGAACAGATAAATGTTGAAAACCTTGGGGTGGGCTATCTTTGAAGATGCTACAGCTAAACTATCCAAAATGAATGATAAACACCCTGGCACTGGCTACAAACCACGTTACGCAGGAACTGATGCCGCAGATTGTGGACCCCGGAAATTCGCGTTTCACAATGCGACAAACATGCGGGAATTCGCTACAAACTCCTGTGTCACGGGAAAGGATACCGCAGGTTGCGGGCGCAGCAGATTCCGCTACAAACTTGCCTTTCACGGGAACCGATATTGCATGTGCAGATCGCGGACAAAAATGCGGTAATCCGCTGCAAACTCTGTTCAGATTCGCATTTCATGGTGCAACATACATGTGGGAACAACTCGTGTGTTACGGAAGCCAATATTGCGCACGCAGATCGCGGACAAAAACGTGGGAACCCGCTATAAACTCGCTTGTCAGGCGTGCCGATACAGCAAATTGCGCGGTTGATGCGATTCCCGTCGGACATAGCGTGACGTTCGACGGGAATCGGGTGTGGGCGATGTTTCGGAATTTTTATGTTACTAATATTAAGCCAGAAAAATGGGATGGGCGATCTCTAGGGGGTGGGCGTTCTCTCGGAACTTTACGGTAGTTACAAACTTTTAGCATAATTTTTTTATTGTACCTATATACACATCATGTCTGGGTTACCTTAGTCAGCGAAGTTTTAGCAAATTTTATTGCTCGTCCGGCTGTTGTTCCAGCTAGCAATGTTTTAGTTGTTTTTGTGAAACCTTGTGGACAAGCTAAAACTACTCTTGTTCAATTGCTGCACGATTCGAAATCGGAAAGTAAAAACACCTACCATAAAATATGATGTAAGTGCCCACTTCGTTTAGACGTCCACTATTAACATTTCCCAAACTTGGGAATTATGCAAATTATACGTCAAGTGCCCGATTTGACCGACAAGCGCCCATGTCTGGATTAATCCAGTTTCCAGTGAAAGTGGGGCGGATGTTCCCCGGTATTTTACGGTAGCAAGGTCAACGAAGGCGCTCACTTTTTCCTATTCGGGCCAAAATTTTATCTGTACTATCAGACTATCTTGACGAAGATATATAAAAAGATAACCTTAACATTTTGTTGTACATGTTAGTGCACCATCACACACTTAAACAATGTCATACTAACTGTCGAGCATCGGCTCCTTAACAAGGGGCCTCCCGAAAGTCTCGTAGCAGTAGCCGACGTTTCATTCTTGTCCTCTCCTGCCTGTCGGGTCATAACTCCTCTACGGTTCACGTCCCAACAGTACTGATGTCCTTTCCCCCATTGCTCCTCACTCTCCATGCAATTCACCCACCCCTGCCAACAAACACCTCCGAGAGAGCAAGGTCGTAGCACCGGATTTCCAGTGCCGCCTACCGCGAGCCACAGTGGGAAGATATTGGACATGAGTGCTGTGTCAGCATTTAGCTTGGTCTAGTGTTCAATCTGCGAACGACCGACACTTGTCTACTTACTGACATGGAGAAACATGCCCTGGCACATTGACGATTTGATAAATGGGCGTTGTCCCTGCCCATGCACTCTCTTTCTCACCTTACCTTTCACCCATGCACTGCCCCTCCAGTACTCAGTACTCTACATATTCTTGTGACCGGTCATGGGGTCTGTACCCTGTAGAAGCTAACCATGTTGGTGAAATATTGGCTGCCACTCAGAGGCTTCTGGGAGGTTCCTTTTTTATAGTTCTTCGTAATGGCTTCGACTGAGGACCTTTGTGTCTAGCTTGCGCATCAGTGCCTGTTGACCCTAATCTTCTGTGCCTCGCACTTTGTCCCTCCGGCCGTTGCTCAGATGGAAGCTCCCTGACGGAAGCGGCGCTCAAGGAGTTGGAGGCCAAGGGGAGAAGCCCGACTGCCACCAAGAGCACTCTCATCATCCACAGCGTGCAGAGGGTGAGCCCGAGAGACGTCCCTCCTACTCTAGCATAATTTTCTCAAACGCAATCTTCCACTCGAAACACAAAAAAAGAGAGTGTGACTTGAGCCTCCGTGTGTTACTAAGTACAGCATTCCATAGCATCTGCTAGAATCACCTGAGCTCCTAGTATCGACACTTTCATTTTTATTTTCTGATGCCACTATAACGGTCATTCTGTTGCTGACAGGTGGCAACACTGATCCTATTCAAGAGGGCTAAAGAGGCATTACTTTACCGTAGCTCCTTCAGCCCTGGCTCTAGCATCCGCTAGAGCTGGGAATCGCAATGCCTTATTGGGCCTTTAGGGTGGAAATAAATTGAGATATCTAATTAACCTCTTTGATGGACTCAAGCCGGCACCCTTGATGCTGGGAGTAAGGGAACGAAAGAGAACATTACCCGTAAAATATCTTTGGGGAGTTCTGAACAATTAGAGAATTGCAGCCAGTCGGAAGGTGCCGACGACAAATTTGATTTCATTGGGCATCCATCTTCAAGTCCTCAATTACGACATTGTAACTTTGGAAATGAAGCCTGGAAGTTTTGGTGCCCTGGGAACATTCACTTACTCTATATAACTAGCAAGCCACCTCAGTGCCTCCGGAAAGCAAAGCACCCCTCTAAGGAACCCCAGGTGGCAGGTTTGAGTCCCAGCCGAGGTGCCCACAATCTGATGGAGGCTTGTTGCGAAGGAGGTACCGTGTCATCAAGATTCGATTGCATGTCAAAAGAACCCCAGGTGGCCCAAAATATTCCTCAGTCCTTTGCTGGGGCATGCCAGATGCCCTTCGTTCATCTGGAATGTGAAACTCAAATTAGATTTTTTTAAGGGATAATTAAAGCCACCGTATACGGCAGCTTTAGCAGAGTATGCCATGCTTTTCCCCGTGCCACCTGTCAAGATTGGTCAGAAAGGATCAGACACATAACTTTGAAGACAATCCAAGCCGGTTTAGCGTGACAAACCGAATGCGCCGTGGACTGCCAAGCACACTGACACGGGATTCGGTTGTCGTTTGCTCCTTGTGGCCTCCCAGTGATCCGACGCATGAAGTTTGCAGTTCACTTTATCTTTGAACTACTCTACTCCAAGTTCACTAAAGGCCCGTTCACACTCTTGCGACCGAGTACGACTGAGAGAGACGAGATCTCTTAAAACTTCTTAATCGTTTTTAGAATGAGGGAACACACTGGCATTGTGGCGCCATCTATGCGGTGACCCTGGAACTGCATTTCACAAGAGCGAAGGTTTTGCGGGATTTCCGAGGTCAAATGTGCGTAATACTCATAGAAAGGCTCGTTTATAACATTGCCAAAGTTTTTCGAGCCATGAAAGGATAATGTGCGAGAAACAAAAAAAAACAAAAAAATATGCCGGACCGCCGAGTTTACACCGCTTCCCAATAGATGGCGCCAGTGTGTTCTCTGGTTTAAGAAGTTCTAAGGAACCCAGGTTTAACAGGTCGCAAGAGTGTGAGCGGGCCTTTACTCGTACGTATATTTGAATCACCACACCATGTCCTAAACTTGAATCAAAATGCTTGAATAGCTTCTGGAGCAGTCAAAGTCTTATAGAGACTGAGCCGCTAAATGCGCCAGATATTTCCTTATACATACCGTTATTTTAGAGCCTAGCTCTTAGGTGCCCGTTTCCGTGTTTTGCGGCGTCAGTGCAGGAAAATTCCCCCTCTAAATTCAAGGAATTGAATTGGTGTTGAGATCACGTGACGTCAATTTTCCTGCTAAATCTAGCGGAGAAACTGAATTTGTTTATAAGTAATGTGACGCCAAGTCATGTGGCATCAATTTTTCAGCTAAATTTAGCAGGAAAACTGTGGGAGTGGAGGGGAAGGCATGAAGGAGGAGGAGCAGAGGGTACAAACGAGGAGTAGGAGGAAAGGAGAAGGAGGGGCATACCCTCCCCTCTGTACCCTCCTCCTCCTCCTCCTCCTCAAGAGCTGTGCTCTAATTTCGCGTTATGAAAATTTGTAAATGTCTACATTTTTTTTAGATTTAAATGATGACCATCAGTGGTGCTTAGTGTTATGCATGAAGTGCCCCGGTCTCGTGTCATTCCTCTGGCAGCCAAACTGCCATATGCAGTGGCAAGACGGCGGTTTTACTCGCCACCTCCATGCTGTAGCAACACAAGTCAGACGACATTAGCAATTTCTGTTTCATTGCTGGCTTTGCCATCGAGATTAGTGAATTGAATCAAACCTTACATACCTACAGAGGTGATGTCACTAAGGATTAGCTTTTAGAACAGACTGCTTCAGGGCAAGGGTTCTGAATGGATCACATTGAGTCACTGAATGTTCCCAAAGCCCCACATTCCATAGAACCTGCTCATATCCGAGAATCAGGCCAGTCGAGCTTTCTGACTGGGATTTTGTGACCATTTCCAAGCCGAGGGAAATAAAAGTGAAAAACGTATATGCGCCGAGAAAGTGAGGAAGAGGAGGAGACAAGAGTGTGTGGGGATGTCAGAACGCCGAGCTTTAATTGGTATGATGAATGGATAGACCTAAAGCTGCTTTTGTCTCGACTGCACTCGTCGAACGCATGACAACACGAAGTGCCGCTGTCCGGCATTTGGTTCTTGCGTTTGAACACGTTCAACGAGTGCAGTGGTAACAAAGGCAGCCTTCGACTCCGCTGCACTCGTCGAATGCGTTGGAATGCAGAATGCCAACGTCTGGTGTTTGGCTCTCGCATTCAAACACGTTCAACGACTGCAGTGGAGATGAAGGCAGGTAGCTTTAGGTCTACCCACTAATCATTCCAATCGGAGATCGGCCTTTTGATGTCCCCTTGAGCACTCCTCTCCTCCTGACCATCAATTTCCGGGTGCATATAGTGTCTCCATGGTAGTTCTGAGCAGGTCTGGTTGAAAGCTGGTGGGCATGCTGCTTTTTGTTTGACAGCTCCGCATGCTCCGATTCAATTCCTCAAGGCACCACTTTGAAGGTTTTCTAAGCCATCAATTGCAGAGTCGTGATGTGGTTTTAAAACAAAGCTTCAGAGTTTTGGTACCCTGAGAACATTCAGTGGTTAGGTGCGCCTTCATCGCTTGTTTAACACCTCTTTGCTCGCTACTGTATTGGTAATTGTTTGGCACGGAGCGTTGAATGTTGTGGCAACTTCTTCTCTGATTTGACTGTCGCTTCCTTCTGCTCTTTGCATGCAATCTGTGTAGGAAGTTGCCTGCCCAAGCTTCAAGGTATGTTCACTCATGTTTGTGAATGTCTCTGCTCACTCTAGTCCCTGAATTGTTCTGAAACCACTGCACTCAAAAAAGAAAACAAAAAAAAGGGAGACACTGTGGAACAACTGCTGGTCCTGCTAATTTCATTTCTTGTTCTGACCAATCTGAATCATTTAACTCTGTTAAGATATATGTGTCTACTTCTCTCGCATATATGCCTACCTGAATATGTTTGATCTGATTTCTGGGGAATGTGGGACCTTCAAACAATGGCCAATATCGACTAAGGCATAGAACTCTGTTAGACAGAACATTGCCTAAAGGCAAGCTGTTCGTCCACGGAACAAATGAGCTGTCCACTTCCATTATGATTTAATTGTCCACAAGGATTTTATACGATCGAAATCACCCCTAGGAAATGTTAAAAAGCCCGACCGTAGCCAGGCAAAATTGCTGGTGGGGAGGTAATTAGATTTAACGGAGAAATAATTATTCAAATGCAAACACCCGTTGCTGATCTCAACTGCTCCTGGCTGCTATGTGGCTTTTTAGTGGCCTGTGCTAATTGAGGGGCATAAGCATATGGGAAACTGATCCTTCTAGATATCATCGCATAATCATTGTCACTAGACACAGCACAGCAGGACTCTACGGCATCTTTCTGTAATGCTGCTGCTCTTCTGAGCCAATAAAGATTACAACTACCTGCATAGGGAAGTGTAAACTGGAGGAGGCATTAACGAGGGAAAACTTTCCCGAGGGAGGCGGTTGTTAACTCCATAAAGCAAAGCAATTCACAAAAGCACGACTCTACAAACATGGTTGTACAACATCCAGAACAACACTCGTGCGCTTGCAATTCCGTTCATTACCATACCGTAGAATGCCACGCATCCGCCCATTCCACATTAAGCGCCCATTCCCAAATTTGTAAGATCCGAGGAAATATGCGCAGTACACTTATATGTAAAATTGATGACCGGACAAGCGCCCATCCCCCATTCTCTCGCGATTATTTCTAAATTTTGAGTGGGCGCTTGCCCAGTATTTTACAGTGTACTTAAGGTCGTGATGCTGGAACCAGCCGACAGAACTGCACACGGGGACATGAATGGTTCTGCAGGATCGGTGGTCGAGTGTTTTAGTGCACCACAGCTCGGAGCTGAGCACAAGCTCGCTCTACAGGACCCAGGCATCCTGGGTTTGATTTGGATTAACATTGTACCGGTGCATTGTATCACTAACTGCACGATGCACGTTAAAGACCTCAGGTTAGCAGTCGTACTGCGCTGGCTGGATTTCTCGTGTCGCCATATCTGCCGTACCAGATGGCGTGGAAGGTGCTATCCGATTAATTCTGTAAAATATTCTAGCATTTTCGAGCGCATATAAAACCGAAACCTATAAAAAATACTGGAAGGGCCCATTGTTGTCTGGTGAAAATCCGTCGCAACATGGCTTTCGTAAGTCATGTGACCCAGAATTGCTCAACTTGGCATTTATGGCAAGTCTCAGTCCAGTGACTCTAGGGCAAGAAATAGAGCACGCTGGTACTGGAAAAAAAAACTACACCACAAACATAATTACGCACATGCAATGATTAGGTAGTAGATCAGTTGCAGTTGGCAGATGCTTAGTGTGATTATTGGGCAAAAAATGGATGAGTCAATAATTGTGAGAGCTTTCCTTGGGCAGGAGGCAGCAGTTGATTGTACGAATTTTCTTTCTCTTTGGTGCAGGACACAAATACTGTTCCTATGTGCATGTTTTGTTTGACTGCTGTGGTTTTATGATGACCAACTGTATTAACAACTTCTCCAGGTTTCTCCCTGTTTAATACCTTTCACGAAACTTGTGCATGTGCAGCAGAGAGGAAGACGAAGGGAGGACAGGACACAAACGAGGCACCTCATTTGTGTCCTGTCCTCCCTTTGTCCTCGTCTTTGCTGCGCGTGCGCAAGCTTTATGAAATGACAAACCGACCAGCCCAAACAGCCACTCTTTTCCTTTTAGTACTGTCCCTAAATGTCCCTGCATTTGAAAAAAAAAAAAGTAATGCAAGTTTTTTTGTTTTAAGAAGAGGACTTCTGACAAGAGAAGTCTGTCATGTTTTTTTGCAACACAGAAATGAACTATGTATCACTATACTAATTGTTCATGCTCCAGCTGAATGTATAGTGCCGGCAGTTGGCATAAGACCCCAAAAATTTAGAATTTCAATACTATCTGATTCAATATAGTTGAAAGCAATTCTTGGGGATTTTGAATGAGAAAATGGTAGAGAGTGCAGCCCTTGTATACATAAAAAAAAGAGACCCCATTTTTTTATTGAAAAGTTTTTAAAATTGTGTTTATCTGTTGAGTTGGTAATTAGCTGAAATTTAGGCATATCTCATGCCATACCCCAGTACAACATTCTTGCAGAGTATCTGGCAATGCCTAGTTTATTTTTGCAGTGAGAAGAACACAGTTCATTTTTCATGGCATAGTAATCTGTCAAGAATTTGTTGCAAGCCAAATGCCAAACTTGCACAGATGTCTTTTCTGACCGAAATTTGTTGCCGACTGCTATTCTTAGGTGAGAATGGACAAGAAGGGCCGTTGGCATGAGGTTTCCCAGGTACTGACCTCCGAAAACTTCTCGCACAACCACTGGCTGCACCCCTGAGTTGCGGGTTTTTTTTCTCTCTCGGTTGCACTCACTTTGGCGCTGTCTGACAATGGATTAGAAAGCTTCCTCACTGATTTCACCGAAGGTTGCCAATGTTTCACTTCACTGGGGGAGTTGCAGGTGGCTAGGGTACATTTTTCAAAATGCACGTTTAACAGACGAAGGGCTTGAGATTCTTTTAATCAGCGCTGCCTGTACTGAACTAAAGAGTTCGTAACGATGCTGGCAAAGACATATGCTGATTAACCTTCGGGCTGACAGCGTCGGACGCTGTAAGTCGCTGGAGCCGATCCAACGCCGAAAGGTTGCCCCATTACTTTATGCACAGTGCGTTCCTGACTGATATGCTTCGTGTCTAATGTCTGCCGAGTTCGATAAACATGCGGTAAAGACTGTATCCATGTTTACACTCATTTTTTCAAGGAGTCTGCTTAAACAAAAACAAGCGCTCCATGTAGCGAGGGAGCTGAGGCAATATCTGCTATGAGAAGCAAAGATATTTAGCCAGACACTGAAGTTGAGAAACATCCTTGGGTTGGAAGTCAACTACAGTCAAATCTTGTTACTTTAAACTCTCTTAATTCAAACTTGCAGATAATTCAAACTAAAAACATACAGGTTCCATCCAATGCGTCTCTATAGGAGGAAACTCCGCGGAATTCAAACTTTGCTTTATTCAAACAAATGTTCGGTCCCCCTCGAGTTTGATTTAACGAGATTCGACTGTCTTGTATTCCCTTGGACAGCACCATAAAGTGTACTTCAAGTAAAGCGCAAGTTCACATTCTTGAAATATGCCTAGAGTAAACATACAACACACTCAAAGTATCTCGATCTCTAACTGTGATCAGCCTTCTGGACGCTCTCAATAACTATACTTGGTTCAACTGATGTACCGTAATTGCTTTGCCAATTAAGCTATAACTCTGGTTTTTCTGCTTTTCTTTATGCTTATTTATGTTGGCGGCATGGCTGCTGTCAATTTTTTATGCACCACCGGTGTCTTTTGCATGCCGTCAGAAATCCAGCTTTCAACATGCTGCACTGTGAAATGCTCCTGCATTAAGTAATCCTTGGTTTGTACGATGGAAAATCGTTTTGTTGACAGACTAACGTGATAGCAAAAAGATGGGTATAGTAAAGGAAAGTGGAAGTATGCTTGTACTACAGGTATAGACGCTTCGCAGCAGCTGTACATTGGGGCCGCCATAACCGACCTTCAATTTTTGTTTCCTCTTATTCCATATACTTCACTTCAGTATTGCCATAGCAGGCCAGGTTATTGCCATCTTAGATTCTATTGCATCCCCCTCCCCAGCATTGGCTCTTGTGGAAACTCATCAAGACCCGTTTCGGTGGCTCGGCATCTCGACAGACAAGAGAAGGTCGGCAATGGCGGCTGTAATCTGACGCATGTGCAAAGTGTCTGTAGGCATCTGAGGCTCTGACATACCAATGAAGATGCTCAAGTTCAGTAGGACCTCTACTGTAAAGCCATTTTTTACAGAAAAAATATTTACTATATTCTCAAATGCCCGTACCTGTGTTTTAAGTATATAGGGTTGCGTTTTCTGGATTTATTTTTCGTAAAACTCTAAGGCGTTTTTTTTTCGGGGCTTATCCTCAGCTTCAATGTTTTTCTGTGTCTATTTTCTGGTATCGTGCGAAAATCGGCGTTTACTGGGGCTGATGTTGAAGGAAACAGGGAATTCCCCAACCTCCAGGGAGCATGCGCAGGACCCCTTAGGAAATACCCCGCACCAACAAGAAAAAAAGATGTAGTTCCGAAGCAAGAAGTTCATTGGGAGCTATGTTACGAGTGAGCACAAAATAAAGCTGCGGAAAAAGATTCCCACAAAGTTTTTTTTCTATTCTAGGACAGCTCCAATTAAAAGTTGTTTGGGTTTCACCGATTATGAAGAAATCACCCTACGGGTTAATTTTAAATGCTTGTCGATACTTACTGAGAACACAGAACCTTAGCTAGTTATAAGGGCACTTTGACTTCGCTCCTCTAAGTCTATATCTTTACTATATTTGCTGTAGAGAGACAATTTACCGTAAAACGAGGTTTGTGATCATTTGTTTGCTTTTAGTCGCTGCAATATTTGCGTAATTTTGATGATTTCATTTGGTGGCTATTGCTGTTTCACTGTGCGTGCTCAAGGAGTTTGAGAGTACAGTACGGGGTTGTTTGTACCAACCGGAGTCTTGTCTGTTTTTTCCACGGACACAGTCGGATGAGACTCCGCTGTCGATATCGCCGAGTAGTCTACGAAAACAAGACCACAACTCGGTGGAAAGAAGCGCTTCCTCTTCATGCAGCGAGGCTGAAGGTGAAGGTAAGGAAAAAAGCAAATTCTTTTCTATATTTCGACATTTCGAACCTTGAGTAGTCTTTACTGGCAAATATCGCTGCATTAAGAAAAAAAACAACGAAAGGGTGCCTATCTGTCCACTTTCCCACACAGTGCTCAATGGGCCGGTCACTGTAATATGTGAAGGTAGCTTGGTGCATAAAGAGAATGCAAAAGAAGTTTTGATCTAAGAATATCTGTGCTGTGCCACCAAAATATTAACCCCCTAGCCATTTTTTTGGGTGCAATTTTTGATCCTAAACTGTTTTCCTTTTTTTTTTTTTTTATTGCACGTGCTGCCCGGGTCGCACGTGTCTCCAAAGTCAGCTTCCATCCCTAAAAACGTGTGCGATAGAAAACCCATGCTGCCATCTCTGAGCAGTGCCGCAAACTAAGCTTTGAAGGAGCCTGGGTCATCCGAAACGGCTCGGGGGTTAAAGTGGGCTAGTCAGATAAGCATTATGAACAATAAACAGCACAAAGGACAGACAAGGGCAAGAACACAGATGGGAATAACGAGAAACAAATTAAAGTAGTTGTTATTTAGGCAGCAGGAGTTTAGTCGTCCAACATGTGGCGACATTGTTACCCAACGTAGGCGATAAATTTAGCCAGTGCAATACAACCGCTTGCCTGGGGTCTTCAACGTGAATCCACGCAGTAGTGATACGCAACCCCGTGCAGGTACGATGCTCATTTAGACCGAAACTGGCAGGGGCGGGGATCGAACCCAGGATCGTGGGTTCTGCTGCACAAGCTTTTGCTTCACGTGCTCCCAGCTGGTGTGTGCCAACACACTCAGCCTTCAATCCACCGAAGGCACTAGTGCCTAGCACGTTGTTTTAACGCTCTTATAAGAAAAGAGAAGGAACAAGTGAGAGCAGTTTATAACCAAACGATGAGAACGACGAAAGGTAAAGGAAGAAATTATAGGAATAGGATACATCAAAGCCAATGCAGTAAATTAAAACCATAATTGAAAATGCGGTTGAAATAAGATTAAATTAAAAAATGTAATTCAGGAAAGGAAGAAAGCTTTTGAAAAAATTAATATACAGCAGTAAGAATACTTTGAAAAAGATTTCTCTTTAACTTTTTTAAGTTTTATTACCGTAAAATACTGGGCAAGAGCCCACTCAGACTTTGGAGATAATCGCAAAAGAATGGGGGATGGGCGCTTGTGCAGTCGGCAATTTTACGTATAAATGTACCACGCATATTCACTCGGATCTTACAAATGTGGTAATGGGCGCTTAATGTGGAATGGGTGGATATGCGGTATTCTACGGTAGATTATTTTTTTTTCTCATATGCTTCATTATTTTCTTGTCTCTTATTTCAACTGTAATTTCATTTGTAGCCTCGTTTTTACTGCATTTGCTTCAACGTGTCCTGTTGCTTTCATTTCTTTCTTTCTCTCTGTCCTTTTCGTCACCTTGAAGAGGCAACTGCTCTCACTTCTTCCTTCATTGTCCTTGTAAGTGCATTAAAGCAACAGTGCATAAGTAAACGCTAGTCCCGTTTGTGTTCTTGCCTTCACCTGTCCTTTGCACTAGTATTTGTTGTTTATAACGCTGCGACACATAACACGCTTAATTTTTGGGTCATAACTTTTTCGTCTTGTGTCATTCACCGAGTTCCCTTTGGAGATACCATCGACTGGCTCATTGGCTGCTGTGCGGGGAATTCGAGAGACTTTCATGTTGTAAGACTGTGCGATGCATGTTGCCGCATACGTGGCAAAACGTCACGAATAAAGAGGGCGGGAAAGTGTAAAACCTAAAAGAAATGTCTATAGGGGCACTAAGGTGGAATTTGAGATCATCTTTTTATGGCACGAACTTGACCTACACACCCTAAGCATCCTACAAGACCCAAAATTACAAATGTGCATAGCCTTTTCTGCCATTAAAGACGCAACGCAACATCGCAACATGTCCCTCTTTCTGAAATATCTTGGGGAAAAAGGGGTGTGTTGTGGTGTTTGGCAGTGTTTTTAAGGGTGAAAAAGGCTATGAGCAATTGTAATTTTGGGTTTTATAGGATGCTTAGCGTACATCGATTGAGTTTGTGCCATAAAAAGACTAATCTCGAAATCCACTTTAGTTCCTCTTTAATGAGGTTAACTCGTGCCTACAGCTCGAAAAACAGGGTACTGCACATCTCGAGATTGTGTTGAAGATTTGACTAAGGATTGCTACAGCTGCTTTTATATACACACTATATTCAGGAAGGTTCTAAAGCAGAAGATGCAACAGTTGGCAAGCATAAGCTGAAACTTTCTACAGGAACAAAGATTAGTAGAATAAATAGCTGTAGCCAGAGGGGTCTGAACTCCATGCCTCAGTGTGTCCGCTGCATGTGCTGCTAACTTCATCACACACCCGGCAATTGGAAGCGCAATCATTAGCTGTTTGTTCACAACTCCAAAACTAAGTATTTTTTTATCGTTTTCATGTTTGGGTTTACATTAGTTCAAGAGGAGTTGGAAAGTGTACCTCTAAGGAGGCATCAAGCTGTGTGTGGACACGAGAAGTATATGAATGAATGAAAAAGCAGTGCAATACAAACAGGGTTGGACATTCTCAGATTTTTCTTCCCTCGAAGTGGGGGAGAGGGGCAATAAGAAATGGCTTGTATTGTTGTTGAAAAAAACTTGAAAAACATTTTTTTCTCTTGTAACTCAATTAAATTTTTTGCATGTAGTAGCATAAGTATCCGAGGATCTGAGTATAGTTAGGACCCTTTTGTTCTACAAATTTGGCTATAAGCTATCCAACATGACCTTCTGCATGCAGCATTCTTTGGCTACTGGGCTGTGGATGTGTTCTGAGCATGCGTAGTTAACTCACTTCTGCAGAATATCAGATGCCACGCATGCGTTAACAGCCCAATGACTCTGCCCTTTTTGCCTTGGCAATAAGCGCTGGAGAGATGCATAAATCTTCCAAGGCATTTATTTACAATTTTTTTGTATCCGTCATGTATTTCTAAGGTGCTTTTATTCACGGTCTAATGTTTTTAGTACTTTCTTCACTGATAGGGGCTCGGTGGCTCCGAGGCGAGAGCGCCGGCCTACGGATCCCCATGTGGCGGGTTCGAATCCCGGCCGAGGTGCCCGCAATCTGACGGAGGCTTATTGCGGAGAAGGCGCTGTGTAACCGAGATTTCGGTTGCACGTCAAAAGATCCGCAGGTCGTCGAAATTAACCCTCAGTCTTCTGCTCGGGCGTGCCAGATGCCCGTCGTTGGTTTGGCACAAAAAAAACCCAATTTGACTTTTTTGACCGATAGGGGCTTCACTGATTGAAAAACAATGAAATAGAGCTCTAGATTGATCAACAAAACTGCATTCGTTCCACTGAGATGTGCCTTTCCAGCGCGAGCGTTCGTTTCACAGAATGTTTCAAAGCCGTGATTTTATGCTGTAGCCTTTGCTGCCCTGTAAGCTTAAGGGTGAATGAACAATATGGTATGCATTGGGTAATGTGCAGAGAGCACATTAATATTTGCGGCTGAAAGGATTGAACTGTAGCACCCCCATGGTGTGTACGAAAACATGGGTGATCAAGTAAACGGGCTCTTTCTGGTGCCTGCACGCTCACGGGTAGGTTTATTGCTTCTTCGGTCGCTCTGGCCTAGAACTTGCCGCCACTTCATAACAAACTCTCAATGCAACTAATAACATCCTGCCAACCTTGCAGGAGCCTCGGAAAAACCCAAGAAGAGGACATTGTTGGGCAAGATCCGAAAGAGGTTGAGCTTCAAGAAGAACCGCTCCAAGTCCGTGGAAGTCCGTCCGGATGCCGAGTCTGCGAGTCGGAGCAGCAGCCGCAGCGTCTCCACCGACCGCGCTAAGTCGGTGCCGCTTGGAAGTAAGTGTCTTCCTCGATCTGTATTGTTTGAACTGCTGTACCTTTGCATTTCATGCACATTTTGTAGTGAGAAAGCATGCGTGGGACAATTTGTGGGTGAGCCTTTACAAGCTGTATGCAGCTTGGCTTGACGTGTCCATTCGTAATGCTGCCATTTCTTCTCGAAAAACCATTCAGAGATATTTCGCGGGGCATAAATTGGTCACGCGTAGCAAAATGCTTCAACCTAACTGGGAGGTAGCCCCAGCAGTGAAGGCAGAATGCAAAGGCCCCAGTATGTTTACCTGAACCAAAAGGTTCAGGCTAGAATCTCCTTGTTAGATTAGTGATTTCTCTAAATAAACAAATAAATAAAAAAAATTTGGAATCCAAGATGCAAAACCTTCTCCTGCCACGGCTCGCCCAAATATTGTGATTTTCAGTGCCAGTTGCAGTCGAGAAGGGTAGTTTCCTGCGGGGTAAGAAACTATCCTTTGTTTCCTTCCCCTCAGAATAGTTGACCCCTCAGGACAGTTCCCTGAAGGGTAGGAAACTGCAGCTCTTCTGAGCTCGAATAAATATTAATAGCAGTTATAACGATTGGGTTACTGATTATATTAATAATGTCACGGCATGCTTCACAAACGCGCTTTAACTGCTGAAAATAAAACTAGCTTATCATATGCCTATTTGCCGTGTTGGCGCATCGCAGATTCAAAGTAAATATTAGAATTGTGCGAATATTTGAAATTTTGAATAGTAGTTTCGAATGATGCACTATTCGATATTCGCTTTGAGGTGAACTTCAATAGTATTCACATTTTTGGAAGTGGTCGTAGTGTGTTAGCCCCATTGAGTACGCTCCTTACCGAGTATGGGTGCTTTGTGGAGAAGCAACCCCCCGGGAAAGTGAGTTTTGCGGGTGTTGCTTCTCCACATTGCACCGGTGCTGGGTAAGAAGCTCACTTAACGGGGTTATCTGCCGCGATCAGCACTTTAAGGGGGGACACTACCCAGAAAAAGCAATTTCTGCAAAAAAACGTTCATTTTGAAAAATGTCATGATTACATCCACCAACACCTAGAGGGTATTCCCAGAAAGTTTAATTACATTGTACTGCATAGCTAATTTTTTAGAAATTATTTTCGATCCACCAATGCTAAAGAAAAGGTAGAGGTTGGAGGACTTTGAACGCATTTTTCTCCATTCCACTTTCTGGCATAAATTTCATATTAGGAAAACTATCATTTTGTTATAACATAACTTGGATTCATTTTTATGAGTTTTTCTGGGGTCAAATTTTAAGGGGAAGATAACTATGAGCTTGTATTTTTTATTTTTGTCATTTTTCATGATCAAAAACAAAAATTTTGAACAAAGGATGGAAATCTAAAAAACTGTATTTGTGTTTATGTGGCTTTTTTGTCATGAAAGATGGTATAACATAGAAATATAGCTCCATAGTTATCTGCTCTGAACTGCCCTAATGCAATATAACTCATGAAAACAACAAATTTATAAGTAATTTCAAAATGATAGTTTTCCTACGCAGGCACGCCCACTTTCATCTTTGAACGTTTGCAGTTTTTTTTGTACCCTACCCAGGTTAACAAAATTTGGCAGAAATGTTCTCAACATCAACAGGAACAAGCCCTGTAAATATAACTTAAAACAGACAAGTGGTTCAAAAATTTACTTTTTTGGGTAGTGTCCCCCCTTAAAGAGTATGAAAATCGCAATTGCGTGCTTGGGAAAAAAGCATACTTTCAAAGCGGTATACTGCACGCACGCGACTGGTGTATTTAAAAAGAAACTGAGACTTTGTGCACATTGATCTGCATTGCAGTAAATTTTTCAAAATTAAACTGTGGCTGTTAGTCAATGTATATGTTAGGAAGAGGTGCACTGACAACCTGCGTTCATCATTTGGGAATCTTTTCTTTTTTTAAATTCTGAATTGAAATATTAATATTTGCATATAACAAGATTTGTAAATCCACTCAATTAGGTATAGCTGGACATCTCTGTAGGTTTAATATTATGTGAAATCCGGTGTTCACTTGCCATCCCAAAACATTAAACTTTCTGAGGTCCATAAATATAGTTAAATTAAAATTAGCTTATTAATGGACAAGTGGAAGTTTGAGAGCAACTTTCACCAGTTTAGCTGGGTTTTTGTTTAAGCATAGTGCAACAGTGGTGGAAGGCTTAGAGAAACTATTCAATATTCGATTCGAAAATATTCGGCCAAAACCACTTCGAACTCAAAATCCACTATTTGCGTATGATTAGTAAATATAAATTTATAGTGTACACCAAAGGCCTAAACAGCTGCCTATGAAAAGAAGGAGTTAAACACGCGTGAAGACTACAGAGAAAAAAATTAATATATTGCCACGAATGACAAGGGATGAGGCGGCGAATCACTGAGTAAACTGAATGTTTAATGGGGCCAAAACAAAGAAAGGAAACAGAATATTACAATAGAGCGTCGCGGCCGTCGCTAGCAGCGTAACAGCAGGATTGATCGCTGGGGCGAGACTGACTGCGGCTCGCCACGCGGAGTCCCTTCTGCACATGCGTGGGCTTCTGGAACAATCGACGTAGAAGGTTCGACACATAGAACATTCGGACCTCGAACAAGCAACAGGATTCTCGAATTTACCAGGACACCAAATTGCAGGAATAAAAAAAAGATGCGTCGCTGCCAGGAACCGAACCCTGCTTTTCTTCGCACGGGAGGCAGGCACAATAACTGTTAGGCCAGGCACGCGCTGCCTTCTTGGCCCCTGGCGCGCGCAGCATTATGTTGGTGCTGACCAGCGTTACTAGATTGGCTCAGTTGACGAGGTCTGCATTGGTCGTGCTTCGGAAAGTTGACATAAAGCAAATTGAAATTAATGTGCTCATATAAGCACGTCAACAAGCGTGTTGCTGTACCAGGCACTGGAGCATGCATATATGCTCAAAACAATGAACTCTTTTCACATAAACAATGAGAGTGTCTCACAATTTGTACACTGTTGCTCTAGCAGGTACTGTAAAACTAACGGCTCTAATATCAACTGCCGGTGCACACATAAATCTCCAAAGTATGCACGCATGAATCTGCACTGATCAGCTGATCGGAAGTGATGTCTTGAAATTCTTACCCCTTAGGCACACGTCCCCGGAATGGCACGCACACGCAAGGGACCAGGGTTGTTACGTAAAGAACACACGAGAGGAATAGCCGTTTCCACTACCTCAGATGTTTCAGTAGTAGGCCTCGACGTAGCCGAATAAAAGTTCAAAAACAGCCTCATTCCTTTAAGTGATGAAGATGTCTTCAAATTGGCATTCTTTCCTGTAGTGGATTTGGACTGTATGCAGCAGTTTATGCTTAAGCTTCGGACACAAACACAGAACACCAGAAGAGGGACATTCCCGGTATTTCAGTTTGCAAACGACCAAAATACAACGGTTCTTGTGCAGGAAACCACGAAAAATGCAGCCAGATGCAGCCATTTCTTCGAGCTTGCCTGCTCCGATGCTGAACGTTGAACATTAGCAACACTATGCAAGCCTGAAGGGCGTGAATTTACCTCAAACGTCCCAGGAAATGTCCCAATCCAGACATTATCACACTGGCAGCAGTTGTTGGTAATACACTTTGTGAACCCAAACAAAAATGATGAGTTTCATCATTTTTGACACAGCAGTGAATGACAGCGCGGCACTTTTCTCTCTGAGCTTGTCAGCTTTGCCGATCCAGTAACGTTGGTGTTTCGAAAGCAATTCTTATACTAAAATGTTTGTAAAGTATTGACTGCACAGAAGTTTGTCCCCGCTTAGTTGTACTAACTGCACTTGTGTTTCGAAGCATTCTGATTTTTCAGCACGGGACAAAACCTCTCGTGCACAACCCTCTTTTTTCTTACTTCTACTATGAAAAAGCTGCACCATGGGGTATGGTGACATTTTTCGCAAGTTCTTCCATCGGCAGTTTGAAATCTCACTGGGAAAAGTGGAGCAATATTGTGTTACCGTTAAAACCCGTATTCATGGGGGTAATTATTGATTGTGCAGTCACGTTTGGTGTACCATTGTTCCACGGTTTAGTTTAGCTGATTGGCTTTGTTTAATGAATAACATACAAAACTTACCTTCGATCAGACAAGCCATTATTGCATGTGCAACAAAGATGGCAAGGACTAGGGTATATAATCTTTTTTTTTCACTCGTGAATATAGTGTTTGTAAATTAAACATGTATGTATTTCCCAAAACAAAAATGAGAATGGCTCCGTGTATGCAAATTTTATAGTAATGCAATATAAAGCCTCTATTCTCATTATAATTTTTTAATGGATATTACCGAGGAAATGGCAGCTTTTTTAATGATGCACCCTCATGCAGCTCTTTAAACTCGATTATGCAAGTTATGGGTATTGCAGTTGTTTTGCATGGGTGTCATAATTTTCAACCTTCGCCCCGAGCATGGAAGTAATTGAAATCATTCTCGTTTTATTCCTCATGCATTTCTGAGATGTTGTTGCATAAAAGGTAAGGCCTAAAATATCTTGCATTGGTCGGACGTTCTAGGCAGAACTCACACTGCAGATCAGTTCTATGCATGCTGCCTTTATGTCATCGCAAGTTGATACTTCTTGTCCACCATAGAAGTGGTCTAGGGTGAAATCACCTGCTGAAATGTCAATTGCTCACATGTGCCTCGTTTATGTGCTTCTCCAGACCTTTGGATTGGTAGAGTCTTACCTTTCTGTGTGGCTTCAAATATTTTTATTTTCTCTCCAGAAGGTAGTTATTGCATGTGCGCATACTACTCTTAACTACTAGATGATAGTTAGCATGAACCAAACCTGCACTGCCACATTCTCACATAATACAATACAAGGTTGCATCAAACAGCCCACTCTTACCGGTCAAATGGATGCTATATGCAAGCACATTCCGACTCTTCCGTACCTAATTTCACTGGCTGTCCTCGTGTTGTGGAAAAGATGGGGAAAACTTTGTCTCTTTGTTCTAACTGTGATCTCGCTTGTTGAGATACTTATTCCCATTGGTATGCTATAAATCAATAATTTGGTGCTTGTTTTGACTACCAAATGGGAAATACCTTCCTCAAACATACAAATGCAACTCTGACACCAGTTTGACTTTGCATGCTCAATCGGTACAATTATATATTACACTTTTTTCCTCTCTCTGTGCCATAGGTTCTTATGTCGTTTGTTTTCTTCATGCTTCAGTTGCGATAACCAGTTTTGTTCATTTTCTTCAGGAAACTCTCACTTGGATGTTCCAGGTATGTGCCACTGCCAAAATATTTCCTTTGTTTCAAAAATGCTCGAGTGATTTCTATATCGTTGCATAGGCACAACATTAAGCACTTGTCACAGGCAAGCTTTTTTTTCTAACTGTGTGTTGAGAACATGCTGCAGCGCTTTGAAAGTTTAAAAATACTGCAGAATTGGTTTCTACCATATGTATTATGCCCAAGGTGTAAGTGTGTCATTTAATTCCTTATTACTTGGGTACATTTGTCCCGTTAAGACAAGAATTTGTTACAATATCTCCTACAACATCCGGCTGTGCAGCTAGTGCTGACCAGTGACTTAATTTCGAGTGCTGAAAAAATATTGTGACAGTTCTGTTTTTATGCAGCACTCCGCTCACAGTAGAGCTTGAGGAGGCGATAATGTGTGTTGCTGACGCTGAGACTAAATCGGCACAAATGCCTCTATATTCATCGACATAATTCTAAAATGTATTTGTATAATTTGCTACAGATATGTCACTAGGCTACAGTTGCTCGCATTGTTGCTTTGGAAGCAATGAGTCACTGAAGCTGGAACTTATTTGCTACAAACCACTATTTTCGTGGGCTCAATTTTAATGTATTTCGCAAAGTGTTGGTTCCGGGAATATTTTGCAAGCACAAAATTTCGCTACTGGGAGTGTTGCGTGATATATTTGTTACCATCGTGCGGTCTATTTATGCCATAAATGTTTTGCAATATCTTTCGAGTTGCAAAACTGAGGTTTTTGCACAAATTAAAGGCTCGTTCACACACTTGCATTCCCTTACAACTGAGTTCTTGCATTCTTGTACGACGAGAGATCACGCTACGTCATGTACGAGGGGACCCTCGAACTGCATTTCACTAGAGCGAAGGTTTCGTGGTATTTGTCGCAACAAATATTTATACGGGGTGTCCCACACAAATATTCGCAGGGTTTTTTCCACCGCAAAAGTAAACTATGCATCGCCGAACGCTCATTTCTCCACCCAAAGGCAGCACTTGAGATCAGAACCAGGTGCCCTAGTTTCAGCCCAAGCTAATATTTTATTCAAAAGTTACGTTATTTTCTGAAAATTTCAAAGGGAAAATGGCGGCCGACGGAGCTTTTGAATACATGGAGCTCTATGGCGCCAGAAACCGTAAACGGGCAAAAATAGGTTCCATTTTCCCATTGAATTTTTTAGAACATCACTTAAAACTTTTGACGAGACATACTATACACCAACTCACGTTTACAAACAAACTGGAGCGCCCCTAGCGGACGCCACCGCCGCCGCGCATGCGCAATGGGGGTGTGGGCAAGAAGCTCGTCATTGCCCATAAAAAACCATTGAAATACAATGTTGCCGGCGTCGGTGTGAGTCCCCGTGCTCTTCTTCGCGTTCAAATTGTTGATTCTACGTCCTCCTGGCGATGTCCGACTACTTGAGCGGCGTCAGCGAAATTACCGAGGCTCGTTACACCGCAAAACTTAGCGTGAATAATGTGACATGTGGCGATTCATTCCGCGTGGACGCCGCAGTATGTACGCTAATGCTAAGTTCACATGATGAGATTTTGCTCGCAATTTTCAGTCGCGACGCCGCTCGGGCTGCAAAAGCGTGAACCGTAGCTGAGATGGTTGACGTCGATACTGAAAATCGCAAGCAGGATCGGATTAAGTCATTTAGGCATAGCAAGTCAGTGATGGTCCCTGGTAACAGTGGTCAACATCTCCTTGTATCTACTGTTTACATCGAGCCTGCTTACCAACCTTCAAATTTAAGTCTTTTGAGGCCTGCACTTACTTCTTATCGCAAGTACCGCGCCACCATTGGTCTACGGGCCGGCGTCGTCTAAGAGAGCAGACGACAAGCAGAAACGTTTGAAAGAGCAGAGGACAGCTCAGATGATCAGAAGGCCGTTTGAACTTGAAGACGCACTGAACGTAATCCGCAGGTGGTCCGCACAACTTGACGGTTTTCTCGCGTTCATGTTGGAACAAAACAAATAAATCTGATGACCACAAGTATCCGTGAATTCAACCCAAAGTGCTTCCCACTTAAGCAATCTTTGTCCGACGGCGTCTGCTTTGCCCTTTTCACGGCACATATCCAGATCCTCGGACGAACCGAGCACGTGAAAACTGACCTTCAAACTTTTCTCGACACTTTTGGTACGACAGCGCAGGTTTTTTACGAGAAGGCAGGTTTTTGTTTGGTTCCTTTCAAAACAACGCAGGAATACATGTCTGGCATGGGGACTTCTGCCCACAGTTCCAGACCGGAAGTGCGACTGACGCGCCACCACCGCGCCGTGACGTAACAGAGATGAGTTTGTGTATAGGTTCGGGCTGAAACTTTGACATCTGGTACGGACTTATAGCACTCCTAGCTTTACTTGGAGAATGGGCATTTGGCGATGCATACTTTAGTTTAGCGGCGGAAAAAACCCTGCAATTTCTTGGGGGGGACACCCTGTAGTACTCCCTATGAAAAATGGTCATTTACAGCAATGTCAAAAGTTTTTCAAACCAAAAAAGAAAGAATGATGCTTGAAAAAAAAAAAAGAAAAAAGAAATATACCGAAATGCCAAGTGTTTCACAGCTTCCCAATAGACGCCACCAGTGTGTTTGCTCGTCATAAAAGATTTGAAGTAGTTTTAAGGCACAGACTCCTAAGCAATCGCAAGTGTGTGAATCAGGCTTTATTGTCTACAGTACTAATCAATTATATTATGCCACTGGTAAAAAGCCTAACTTGACCTTGACTCATTTCAGTCAGGAACCATGTTGATTCACTGGGTGCTTTTTTGACGTTCCAGGTGCCCGCAACAATGGCAGCACGCGGAGTAGCATCAGCGAGGGCTCTGGGATCAGCGCAGCGTCGAGCCGGACCTTTGTCAGCGACAAGTCGCTCCTCGTTGTGGAGGCAAAGGAGGACGGGGTGCTCAGGTGAGCAAACGCCATCGAGAAAAGGAGGCCCGCACGTGACGTCATCGTTAGTGGGTCCCACCCCAAGTGGCAAACATGCTGAAACTCGAAAAATGCCGCGAGATGGCAGACGCGTCCGTCTTGGCATCGCCACGTGCTAGCGTCGAGCTTGTAGTGAGACACTGGAAGATGTGCTGTCGGCAGTGCTGAAGCGAGCTAAATGACGCTGCGTGGATCCTCGTGCGATAACGTTCGGGGGGAAAGGTCCGGGCCCTTTTCTTCTGCGTGGTATCGGGTGAGCACCAGCCAGGGGCGGGCGCCTGAGACAGTGGTGCAGTGAGCGCAGAGTGCCAACAGGGCGACATCGAAGAAGTGGCCTTCGAAGCAAAAGAGTAAACCCACACCAGGGATATGAATCTCAGATGATTAGGCTGTTGTTTTGTAAGCAACAAGTACAGTTGAGCAAACTCTGTGAGGATTCTAGTTTAGCAAAGTTTGCTGCTGCAGAAGACTGTCAGCATGCGCAGCTGATTCCCGACAAGGGGTGGAATCGTAATGTTTCAAGGGATAGTGCAGTGGACATGCGACGTCGGAACTTCAGACAAGAATCGATTGATAGAGTAAAGGGCACAGTAAACATCCTCGCCTCGCGATTAACTTCAGTTGCCACAAGGGACTCTTAAAATTCTGAGAGTACTTAGAATTTAAGGCCCTACATGCACCCACCAAAGAAGCAGAACCCATGGAAAACATCTCATTAAAATGTGCTCGTGACACCTCCTACTCTTGAAGAAATTTAAGCTTGTCCCAATCATTCTGATAAACCCCAAGATAATGAGTGCCGTGTGTGCAGCACATCCAAAACCATAGGCATTAGCGAATAGAGGATTTTGAATCCGAATCGAATTCAAAGCGCAGAGTTTTTTTTTGACCGAATAATTTTGAATCGAATAGTTTGAATAGTACAAGCAACAAATACCACAAGATATGTTTCAACTATAGTTTTATATTTGCCCTTATTTGGTATTAGAAGTACCGTAATTGTTAATTTCAAGTGTATTGAGTTCGGGAGCACGAAATGGGTCGGAAGCTTGCGTCACCTGGCCGGAAATCCAAGCCAGAGTAAGTCAAACCCGTTTATATCGAACTCGCAAAAAAAGTCTACCAGTTCGATATAGCGGGTAATTCGATATAAAAGTTTTAATGAATTCCGCTCTCAAAAATACTTTCTGGTGAAATATTACAAAATGAAGTAGACTTGCATCTTCTGCTGCATTGCATCCGCGATAGATATATATTTCTACGCTGTCGACGGACTCCAAAATGCTGAGGCCGCTGTTTTCTATATTCGCGCATTAGCGCCTAACTACGCCGAGAGCACGGAGCACGTCCGAGCAGGAGCACCTGCACAGCGCCGTTTTGCTCTGCAAGTTGGCTTTCCCCTAAAACGGTTGTGCGTTGGGGGAAGCCGGCTAGCAGAGCAAGCTAACTTTTAGATGCGGAGCATCTCTTGCTCGGGCCTATGTCCCGCGGCGTCGTAGTCCGCACTCACACCACGCATGTGCAACTCTCCTCCTTCCCTCTCTCCAACAGCTGCGCGTTATTCTCTCCGCTTTCTCTCTCTCTACCATCTGCGTGCACTTCGCGTGCGTTCGCTTCTACTCACACCGCATGCGCAACTCTCCTCCTCCAGTTTCCTCTCCTTCAAGTGTGAATATAAGCAGCGGTAGCGCGCTGCGCGCGTTCAAGGGGAGGAAGTGGCCGAGTGGGCTAACGCGTCTCAGCTCGGAGCGTAAAGCGAAAGCTTGCGCTGGCAACCTCCTGGGTTCGATCCCCGCCGCCCCCGCCCGTTTCGATCTGGATGAGCTTCGTACCGGCACGCGTTCGTGTGATCACTACTGCGTGATGCACGTTAAGAATCCCAGGTTAGCGGTTGTACTGCACTGGCTAAATTTCTCATCTACAGCTAAGAGACCGGTTACCCGTTGAGGCGCATCTCCATCAAGGCTGTATAAACCTAAAGAGCAAACCAACTTCTGCGCGCGTTCAGTTCACCGCTGTTGACTCCACTTCACTCCGTTCTTCCGATGAAGTGTGATGGAACGATGCTCCGCATCACCCCATGGTTCCCCTCGGGAAGATGGTGTAATTTTTTTTCTTCCCGGCGGTTGCGTTAAGGCCCGTTCACACTCTTGCGACCGAGTACGACTGAGAGAGACGAGATCTCTTACAACTTCTTAAATGTTTCTAGAATGAGGGAACACACTGACATTGTGGCGCCATCTATGCGGTGACCCTACAACTGCATTTCACAAAAGCGAAGGTTTTGCGGGATTTCCGAGGTCAAATGTGCGTAATACCCATAGAAAGGCTCGTTTATAACATGGACAAAAGTTTTTCGAGCCCCCAAAAAAAAAGGATATTGCGCGAGAAATAAAAAAAATATGCCGGACCGCCGAGTTTACACTGCTTCCCAATAGATGGCGCCAGTGTGTTCTCTGGTTTAAGAAGTTTTAAGGAACCCAGGTTTAAGAGGTCGCAAGCAGTCGCAAGAATGTGAACGGGCCTTTAGCCGCTTGGGAGAAAAAAAATAATATTCTCTTTTGCGGAAAGAGCGGGGAGAGGGAGCGCGAAGCACCCTCTCTCCGCTCCCTCCGTAAAATATATTTTTTCTTCCGGGCGGTCGACGCGGCCGCCCGGAAGAAAAAGAAAAAAAAAAAAAAAAGCCAGCTTGCAGAGCAAAACGGCGCTCTTGGCAGTTCGATATATCGGTAGCGGCTGCTATTTTTGTTCGATGGAACCATAGTTTTTGTTATATATTATCGCTGTAACATTACTGTGCACAAAAATTGTTCAATATAAGGAATAATTCGATGTAAACGGGTTCGATATAGTCTGGTTTGACTGTATTTAGAAGGTTCGAATAATTTTATATTGTCGAATAATTCGATTCAAAGCGAATGTCGAATAGAACAGAATTCGATTGGCTATTCGTAATAACTGAATATTCGCCCATTCCTACCATTTAAAGCTCCCTGCAGCCAAGCATAGCAAATCATAACGCAGGCTTAACACATGCACTACACATTTATTGTTCCTTCGGTTTATCAAAATGATTGAGGCAAGTTTAATTTCTTTTGTCAAGTTTGTAATTGAAGAAATTATTTGCATATAGCGAGCAGATTTAGAAATCCCCTCGATTGGGATAACGGCAAGAAATTCATTGTTGTGCCGCAGTTTATAAATATAGTTACATTAAAATTAACTGAGCTTCAAAGTTAACAAGTAGAAGCTCAGGAACAACCTTCACAAGTTCAGCTCGGTTTTCGTTTAAGCATGGTGCAGTAGTGAAATGCTTGGAGGAACTGTTTGATATTTGATTCTAAAATATTCGGCTAAAACCAGTATTTGCTTTGAATTCGCTTAAAACTGAAAACATCCACCATTTGCACACGACTAGCTTCTGGTTGTATACTTTAGACGCAATACTTCATAGTTTGCTTTGCATACTTTCGACCGCTCCAAACTAAAACTGTGTCTCACAGGGTAATTGCTGGTAGTGTAGTGTTGCCCTGTCTGTGACACAGATGCCTCGTTGTCCCGTTTTGCTTGCCAACGCAATCTTGCTCTCTCGGCAGGCACTACCTGATTCCCCCGTCTCTGGCCCACCGAAGCAAGTGGCGGAGGAAAGGCGTGAAGCTGCACATCTACAACGACCACGTGTTTGTGGCAAAACATCTGCCTGGGTAAGTTCAAAGGTGTAAAGGCATCTTTTCAGTAGAGCAGCTGCTTCTCTATCACTGCAGGATTCATTTACTTCATTGGGGAATGCCATTTAACCAACACGCCGCTTTTGTCTGCCTGCATTGTGAGCGGGACAGCTTATTATCGATCGCAGATCGTAGCTGTTCTGGTCATTCTGGTATTTCCAGCAAATTAAGGTTGCCATTCTGGTCGCGAAGATGTGGCATGGGAAGGAAGGATACGCCTTCTTTTTCGATAGTGAAACGGTATTTTGTGGAGGCCGAATGGTTTGCTCCTCAGGAGCCTGGTGTCCCACAGGTTCTCGCATATTCGTAGCATCTCGCTTCTTTTTTTCTTTCACTTAACTCTTTGGTTCTTAGTTTAGTGGGAGAAACCTGCTGTGTTGCCAATGTCGTGAACAGAATACTAGGCCTTGTCGGAGTCTCGAGAAGACGTTTCCCACCATTCCTAGACCACAACGTCCAGAGCGTGCAGTCCTGCTTCAATTAATTTTTTTTTCCTCCCAGGACGATTACTTTTTGCTTAAGGGGACACACTACCCAGAAAAACAAATATTGTGCAAAAAACATTGATTTTGAAAAATTACATATTTCTATCCACCAAAATCTAGAGTATTCCCAGAACTTTTCACTAGTCTACACTGCATAGTTAATTTTTTATAAATTATTTCTGTCCACAGAAGCTAAAGAAAAGGTAGGGTTTGGAGCGCACACATTTTTCTCCATTCCACTTTTTGGTAAAAGTTCCATTTTGGTCAATCTATCGTTCGATAATTGCAATACAGGGAGGGCTCATTCTTCCCTTTTCCTGACGGAAATTTAATAAGCATTGCGGCTATGGAGTTTGTCACTTTATGGATGTCTTTCGTAAAAAATGTTGACATTTTGTCGAAGACACAGAAGACGAAAAAGTTGACGAATTTTGCGGAAGAGAAGACTGATAGAAATAAGTCTTTTTACAAAAAGCTTTTTATAGCCGCATTTCCTAGGCATTCTGCTACGTATTGAGCGAATAAAAATCTTGAATATTGTGATATTTTAGATTAACTAAACAATGTAGGCGTTTTGCTGATAAAAGCTGCCCTAATTTCCTTCCCACTTAACCAACAGACCTGAAATTCTGTTATGCATCCTCTAGCATGACCACCCTCCTAGGGGGTGTGTCAACTTAAAAGAAACGTTGTAATGAAGATAACTTTTTTTTCCTTGCAAATGAGAAAGTTCTTAGCCCGAGTTTTCTACCTTTGATAACACTTTGACGTCTGGTGAGCTTGGAGTGTGCTGCCAAAGCTCGGTAAAAGGAGGGGAGTCTGTGTTGGAGGCATTTAAAAGACAATCGTGGGTTTGCAGGAATAACGCAACATGCCATTGGAGCCATGTTTTTGAAAATAAAAGTGGCGAATGCGAAAACGTGCAAGTGATGGTTGACAACATGCGATGGATGGTTGATATTTACTGCACCCATTGTATCGGGCAATAGTTTGTGCCACCTAATGTTAACACCGCAGCATGTTACGTCCACATCAATGGGGCTGTCCTTCCGATACCGACCGAGGCTTTCGTTTAATTTTGCTCTTTCGGTCTGATTGTTATGCGCATATAATTTACGGTGCATTGTTTGGGGAAAAAAGAGTTGCACATTAGAATCGTGCAACTAGGGGTAGGCTCCAGGAAACCCACGGTAAACTTCCAACAAAATAGCGGAACACTTTGCTAAAATTGGGACGCTCCCACGCGTCATGGGCTCTGGAGAGCTCCTTCTTGACAAACACAATGCTTCCTTTTTGCAGGGGGACTGCATGTCACATCTGTGCGAGGCTACTCACACGAAGGCTAGGAAAGCAAGGCTACGTGTGTAGGGGTGAGCGCGCCTTTTATTTCTGAGCTTGCAGTGTCAAAGTGAAGAGAACCATACATATCCTATTTTTTGACATATTATTTGATGTCGATATTTCTTCAAAGAGGTACATAGCCCTTTGACTAAAAGGCGTAACTTTACTCAAAGCTGAATAAATTTAGACCAAAATTTGACATTTCAGGACCTCCTCGATTCTTTGATGCAATTTATTTTTATTTTGAAGAGCTGTCCAGACGATTAAGTCAATGATACTAAAAGCCAGGATGAAGTCAATAACACAAAATATCTGTGGTGACATACTGCGTAGATGACAGACAAAAACGAAAGAAGAGATCCTTAATATAGCTGTATGTATCATTTTTGTTTTTACTATGGCGAGCATTTTTTCGGTGAAAACCTGACCGCATCGTATCTCCATTAATATCGGTATCTAAACAGCCTGTCCCACCACTATTGAAGGCATACTTCAACTTTTCTACAGTTCATTCATAGTTTCAGTATGGCTGCTAGTTTTTACTGTAGAGATATTGCGCAGCATTTTTTTTTTTTCGTGTAGTCTTTATTTTAATTAGGTTCAAATACCCTTTTCAATTTTAAACCCCCGTTAATATCTTCTCGTAATCTTTTTCTGCTCCCAGGATGCAACTTGCTTTGCCACAAGTCTTGCCACGTGAAAACAGAAACTGTGTGCAAAAACAGTTCTGTGGGCACAATGCAAATGTAAGTTTCCAAATGTTCCGAGGTCACTTTATTGCTTATTACTAATTATAGATGAAGAGGTATTTTTTCTCGAGCACTGTCAATATCAGCATCAAAATGATCCCTATGTCACTCGAATCTTGTTACTACAAATATTTTTCTTATATGGAGGAGAAGCAATTACAGTTCTTACGTTAGTTTCGTGTCTTTTTGTACACTCAGGCCATTGCGCATATCTCTCTGTTCTTTACAGGCATGTAAGTTGGGAACCTTTCACTTTTTTGTTCAGTACTATATTCTTTCTCGAAAGGCTTTATAAAGTAGACATTGGATGCAATATTGCATTTCAAAGCAGGCAAGGTTGTACAAAAAAGTTAAATTCCAGGCTACCTTATTTTTTTTAAAAGAGGTTGTTTTTGCGAGAATGGGGTTCTGCTTATTTGCTTTCCCATAAAGTATGTAAGAGCTGTTTGATTTTGTCAGAGAAGAGGGTATTTTCAAATACAATCTATAGGTCAAACTGTCCCAAAGCAGGTCACCCTTTAGGGTACAATGCTCATTGTCCCAAGGCGTGCATGTCACTCTTTATGAACAGTCGCCAGCAGAAGTTTGTGGGACACGGGACTTCCAGCCAAGAGGACTTGCTGCACCTTCTGAAGGCACATGGCCACTCTCAAGACTCGTGCTTCGAGAATGCACTTCCTTCCGTGCTCACTGTTGCGTCTTTTTTACTAGCTTCCGTCCAACGCGCAGAAGACAACGGGGACCGGCACAAGGTGCCCCGAAATGATGCCTGGAGCATGCGAGCTCTGTCGCCCATCGCGGTGACTGAGACGCACAGAATGACGGCTGGCAAAGAGGCATCTTGCACCAATCCCAGCTATCTCGTGCGCATCGGACAAAAGCGTGTAAAAAACACGGCCATGAGCACGAAATGACGTGCACGCGCAAAGCGTGCTTCTTGAGATTTGCGTCGCTCCATAAGAAGGCGCAGGGGCGCATTTTGGCAGGCGTTCCCGTGTCCCGTAAACCCTTGCAGCCAACTGTACATTCTACTCGGATGTGGGGCGATCGGTGGCCAATCTCCCGGCATTTGTGTGAGCTGGCGCACACCAGCTCGGAGCACGGGGAGCGAAAGCTTGCGCCGCAGAACCCCGGGATCCTGGGTTCAATCCCCACCCCTGCCCGTCTCGATCTGGATGAGCATTGTACCAGCGTGGGGTCATGTATCTACTGCACTGGCTAGATTCCTCGCTTACAGCTGAGACACCAGACACCCATCGAGGCAGACTAATTTCCGGCAGTATAAACAATTTGCTACTCGGATGTCTCGAAGCAGGTTATTTTTTTTTTTTTTCAAGTAGAACACCATGCTTGGCACCTCAAAGGAGGTCACTCTTTTGGATACATAGTGTTGCACTCTCTATGTCACTCTTTTGAATATGCGCTTAGCATCCCAAGTCGGGGCCACCCTTTTGAGTACCATACTTTCCGATGTATAAGACACACTTTTTTTCCAAAATTTTCGGCGGTGCATATTATACACAGGTGCATCTTATATGCTAATTTTCACTTAGAAACTTGCGAAAAGTGGGGGGTACGTCTTATACACGGGAAAATATGGTATGTCATGCTCACATGTCTGAAAACAAGTTTCTGTTTTGGGTGCGTTATGTTCAGTGTCTCAAAGTAGGTCCAGTGTTTAGTTTAGATGCAATGCCTTTCAAAGCAGATCACTCTTTTGGGCATGTGATGTCCAGTGTCCCAGAGCAGGTCACTCTTTCTGTTTATTTATTTATATATTTGCAAGTACCCTCAGAACTGCGAGGGCCCTGAGGGCTCGTAAATAAATAAATAAATTGAAGCTACAGAGAGAGGGGTGGTTGGTTAGTGCTGGGTATAACGTTTGCTCAATCTCCTAAAGCGGGTCACTCTTTTAAGCGGGCACGTTGTGCTCTGGTGGCAAAGTACACACAGAGGCTTTCTTTATGATTGGTCAACCTACTTTCAAATAGGTTTACCTTGTATCTATCTCTTCTGAAGCCAATACTATGTCATATGCAAGCTATCTCATCACTCACCATATGGTTCATTCATGGAGTGAAAAGTCGATCACAAGGTTAATTTAATTTAAATGTAGCTACAAACACTTTTCAGGTGTTGTTTTTCTGACACAGGCTCGACAGGCCGAGCTAAAAGCGGCCGTCGAGCCGCTTTTAGACCCGAGCGTGTATTTTGTGACTTCTCTTCACGATGAGGCTGTGAGGATAACCCTTGAGCCTGCTTATGTACCAGTACAGCACAGACACAATACAGCTCAGCAAAATTTGTTTTCTCCTTTGAATTAATTATGTAGGGTACCCTAGCAGTGCTTTTTTTTGCTCGCTTGAAGTGAACTGTCTTGGCAAGCAGGATGATGGCAAAGCACACTGCATTTTCTGTAAGGCACTGGTGAAAGCTGGTGGCTACTTGCAACACTGATGTTGTGGACACTATGGCCAAGGAAACGTTACTTCAAAGCGTAGCTCATTTGGTGGTTCTTGGTCAGACCATTTAAGAAATGCATTAACAGTTTCGTGATGTAATGTAAATCCTTTCGTAAATTTTTTGAGATTTCAGACTTGCCAGTGATGTGTGCCCTTAATGCCCGACTCTTATTGTGTGACCACCAGGGAACCAGTGGAAGATCCACACCCTCCCAGGATGAAGGCAAGTTGATGAGAGCATTCACGGCTTGCTGCACGGCGAGGTGACACCGTACGTCCGTTCCCCGACGTCGTGCGCAGCCGTCGCATTGGTCGGAGAGTGGACTCGATTGTTTCTTTTGACCAACTCGTGTTACAAGCACAGAGACCAAGTGAAAGGCGACACTGAATGCGACGTCGGCAGAGAAGACATTTTGGACCTCTGGTATGCTCCGGTAGCATCAGCATTTGACCGCTTGTTACGCATTCACAATGTTAACCTTTTTTTTTTTATTTTAGAATGCATTAATAAGAGTGCACTTTTTGTTTTAATGCTGACGAGCAAAATGGATCAATTTGCATTCAGATTTTAAGAGTTGCGTCGTTTTTGATTGCGCGAGCAATAAGACTGCTGCAGGTCTGAAAAAAAGACTGCAGTCACATGTCTTTGTTTGTTTGCCTGTACATAAGTAGTTATACTGTTTCGAATGAAATCTTTAGACAAATAAAATGTTTTATGCATCTAAGGACATGCATTTGCGTGCATGTAACTCTGTTGAATGGACTCTGCAGTGAGTTGTGTGTGTGCGTGTTTTTTTCTGTATCGCTATAATTGACTGTACTCTGTTATCATTATCTTCAATTTCTTTAAAAAGGCAAAGTGCTGGAACTTTTGACATATTAAGAGGCATCAAGTTCTTACCCTAATTAAAGCTGAAAGTTTTTAAATATTTCCAGAATATTTGTTTAAAAAGGACTTTCGAAACAAATGTGTGCCTGAATTGAGTGAAATCTACTTTCATGAAGTTAAAATGCATTGATTGCTAAAAGAGTGTCAGGTTTCATAATGTGAATAGTGCACCTTCTTTGCTGAGACACTACTAATAATTTCTGCATCTTGTAGTACACCCATAATATTGTCCTGCTTAAACCTTCGGCATCTTGCTTTTCTTAGAACAACTAATGTTGGCCTTGACTGTGTTTTTAAATTTAATTAGGCACATATAGATTGCTTGTGCTCTGCAAAAAGTGCCTCATGCATGTGGGTTGTTATGAGAGTACTCTATTTTAAGGCATAGGTAGTTATCAGATGGAAATGTCCTCTTACAACCTCTTCATGTTATGCACAGCCTGTGTGTTTATTCTTTTATGGGATAAGTTTTTATGTCGGGGAGTACTTGTGCTTGATGCAGATGCAGTTTACTTGACTCAGAATTGTTTTTTTTTTCTTGTTTTTCGTGCTACTTCTGGATACTGGTTTAAATGGTAATTAAATTTGCCAATGTGCCTACTTTTTTGTCCTCTTATTTCTGACAAGGTGCTGAAATGTTGCACAACCAGGTTTCTTGCTCGTGCATCTAGTCTTTCAGTGTTAAACATTTTAACAAAATTTAAAAATGGAAAAAAAAAATTGGGCTGGGTAATCATTTTTTTTAATGTTTTGATCACTGTTCATTCCATTTTTTAGAGGAATCAGTACATTTCCAAATTGCCCGAAAATCTAGTCACATTAGAGTATCTCCTGCAAATAAATTTTAGAATCTGTTGTGCGCTGCTTTCAATCTGAGGTACCTTTAAAATCTGTGCTTAGAATTGCTAAAGAACTGTTTTTATTGGTGATTAACTTTTATCCTCTCTTCCTATTACGGTATTGCAAAGGAGGCTGACATATGTGAAATTAAAGGTGTTCACATTCTTTTCAGAGACTTTACTGGGTCTGCAATGCAGTGGCATGGTGCATGCAAATGATATTTCTTTCAATAAGATGCCTGCTGTAAGGACTTATTATGTATATGTGCTGCGTTTTGTTTATAATAGAGGCACGATATACTTAATTTCTGCACATTGTGTCCCTGTATAACCCACACGCCATTAAAAGACAGTTGTTCTACATGGTGGTGTTGTCCTTAAAGTAGCCGAGCTTGCACACCCTGCAGAAATACTAAGCTGAGATCTGATTTTGATACATAAATTATGTGCATATACTGGGTGTTTCACCTAATTTGTGCCAAGAATTAACAAGAGTTGGTGATTTTATGCATGTTGAATCAATGCGGTATTGTTAAGTTCTATTGTGCAAGTCGTGTATATGTGCCAAACTGGCTAATACCCACAGAATAATTAGTTCTCTAAATATTAATTTGTACAGAAACTCTCGGATACAAAAGTTTTAGAGCGTGTTGCGAAACATTTCGTCGTCTTTTCCATGAAGGTAGCTGGTGTTTGTAATTTTCGTTCTTCAAAAAGTCAATTTTGCGTGAAACTTAAAAAAAATAAAAAAATATCACGCAACTTAATCACAGAATATTTTTTTTTTTTTTTTTAAATTTCGCGCGCCTTTTTTAGAACTCGAAAAATTATACACAAGAACTTACCTAGATGAAAATAAAGTGATAGGATGCTTCATCATGGTCTGCAACTTTCACTTCAGACAATTTGCAAACAGAGTAATATTTAAAAAGTCGGCTAATTAATCTGCGTTAATTAGCCAGTTTGGCCCATCATAAAAAATACTGCATTGGTACTATGCGCATAGCGTACACTAGCTTTTTTTTTTTTTTTTTTTTTTGTCATTGCACAAGTTAGTTGAAACACATGAAAATTTAGTGAGGAAGTCCACCATAAATGTGCATTCCAAATATAGATCTCGAGCAACAGTACATTTTGATGCTCAATTAAATGTGCAAGAATATGAAATTTGAGGAGAGTGTTGTGGACTGTTCTGTGCATGGTGAGCAGCATGCAATTAATTACCTAGCGATGTGGTTACTCTGTCAAAGTGTGTACTGTTCTACGTCCTGCTATGTTTCACCAAAATATAAACAATGCCTTGCGGAGATTGTTTTGTAGGAAAGGGTACGATCTAAAAAAAACTTCTACCTTCTGTCGGTAGGGCGAAAAAGACGCAGAGAGAGTAGAGCAGCCTCTTCTTACAGCGCCTGCTGCGACCTTCAACGGATCATTGTCGGTTTCCCCTTGAAGGGGCGCTCGCGGACGTTTTGGGCTGCCTCAAGCAGGCGCCGGGCAGCGTGGACTCCAGAGGCACCAGGGGCCAACTGCCACAGGACCAGTCTGGAAATGTCAACAACGGAAACACGAGACAACGGATCGCGCGTGCAGTCTGAGAAGACAACAAAGACCCGACTGGAGTTAGACTGGAGCACTGATGGCGCGTGAATCGGGACAATAGCTGACATTCCTCATTATTCTTTCTATTATTATTATTCTGGGGCACGGAGGTTTTTCGAGCTAGACGGTTTCAAAGGAAAAAGCCGCACAATCCTTATGATCTTCATTTTCAGCACGGAATATCTGAGCTCCTAGGGGTTGTGGTAAGGTTGCCTTGCTGCACGCCCATCCGGGAGGAACAACACGAAGCCTGGGTTTCCAAAACGAGAAACTACATTTATTAACGTGACAGGAATGGGTTGTTAGTAGAAACGTAAAACATTGCCGTAGCGTTGGAACTGCACGCCTCCGTGACCACGGTCCGTCTTCCTCCGTTCTGTGGGCGTGTGCCCTCTTTTATAGGCTTCTGAGCCTGTCATGTACGTGCGCTATTGCGCGCCTCGGCCGTTGTCCAGTTTGGGCATTCGGCAGCGGCCTCTGGCCGTGGTGGGAGACTCTTGCTCCCACAGGGTTAACGAGACTGGAACCGTTAGACTCCTCCTGTCGTGACCTTTCCAACGATATGCATCACAAATTGAAAACTGCCACAAAACATTTGGCCCGGGCCAATTTGCGTAAGACGTGTGCAACGCTCTTCGCTACATCGCGCTGGAAAAATAAAATAAAAGCATAGATGCTTTTAGAGAACGAAAATATTTGACCTCGGGCTGGGCTTTGTGGTGCAGTCCGGTCGACGTCTGTGACGTTAACTTGACCTTGCATCGGTTTCAAAATTTAGGAGCCGTAGCTAGACAGCTAAATTGTATGATTATTCATATATAAGGAAGGTTAGCGAATTCGGCAGATTTTAAGCAGTGTTTGGCGGGACATTTGAATTAGTAATGCACTTCAACACGTCATAAAGTGGTGCCATGATTGGCAGGTGGAAATAAATTCGAATAAAACTATTTATGACCATAACCAATAAAAGACAACAATACTCCTTTCCTTACCAGATAGGCAATAACCTCTTGAAACAAGTCGGTGAATACAAATACCTCGGCCTCAACATAAGTCAAAATTTGCGTTGGGACTCACACATTCCCTCCACAAATAATAAAGCTTTACACAAACTGAGTTTTCTTAAACAAGATTTAAAATTTGCATCTCCTGCCACTAAATGACTAGCCTACAAAACTTTAATACGTCCTACGCTCAAGTACGCCAACATCGTCTGGTTCCCCCACACAGTCTCCGGCATCAATAGATATAAAGAGTTCGGAGAATGACCGCGAGGTTTATTTGCCATAAGTATAGTAGGCACGTCTCTCCCTCTGAACTTTCCAGGCAACTGGGTCTCTCCTCTCTAGAAAGAAGAGCGAAAATTGCTAGACTAAAATTTTTATACGAATTAGCCAACGATCACTTCAACCTACCAAAAGAAAATTATCCTTACAAGCCAACGATTAACACGATACAACCATGGCAAGCTTTACGAGGAAGACGTCGCTCATAATAGCTGCTTTAAGTTCTCGTTTTTTTCCCCGAACCATTAACGAATGGAACCACCCGCCTCAAAATGGTGTTCATTCCTTTCCTATTGAAATCTTCCTCAATAACGGAGATACCCACTTTTCATCATAAACTAATAATTTGTGCTGTTTTTAAAAGTGCAATGCACCAATTGTATTGAAGTTGTTTACTAATTTTTTCATTCTTGACTTCTATATTTGCTTTGAATATTGACCTGCAAATTGTGCGTTGAATATTTTTTTTCTGCTTGTAGTATTTCAAACTGTACCACCCTACAACAACCCCGAATGGGGTTAGTAGTATTGGAAATAAATAAAAATAAATAAAAATGAATATTAGAGTACGATTTTGTGTAATGCTTCAAACTTTTTTCACGGTCTTGACTCCAGTATGGACGACGAGCTATAGATCAACAAGGGAGAAGGTTGGTTTAGGTTAGGTTAGGACAGGTAAGGTTAGGTTCGGGCGGACGCAGACAACACTGCGTCTATCCCAATCGGCGCGAAGATGGGTGCTGCTCGTCAGCTGACAAAGAGGACGTGTTTTCTAGAGCCCCTGCGAAGCTAAGTGATTTTTTGTGTATTTAGTTTTGTGGCGGGTGTGTTTATGGGGTAGCAGTTTTTAACGTAGCGATAGGCTTGCTTGTTGGATCTTCATTGTTGGTGTTGCGAACTAAAGGCAAGAGACACACCCCATTGAGGTTGATCCTCCAGGTTTGGCGCCGTGCTGCATACATGGGTAAATTACTTTCAAAATGTAATTTAACTACAATTACAATTACTTAGCTCCAAAAGTAGTTTAACTACAATTACAATTACTACTACGCAAAAGTAGTTCATTGCAATTACAAATTACTTTTTAAAAGTAATGCAGTTACTTTACAATTACTTATTTCTGAGAGTTACCCCCCACATTGGGCGATATAACTGTAAACGAGTTATATGGCCGCTGTATAAATGTCACGCATCGTACTTTCCTTTTATGAAATTTGTTAAATGGATTATATAACTTAATAGTTTGGAGTAATGAACTCCTGCGTTCATATATTCTCAAAACATAAAAAATGGCGACAAATTCACGGGTGCGAGGTGAATCTCCTTAGAGCTTATGCAAATGGTATCCGAGTCAAACCAAGAAAAAATAAACTTAAAAATAATATAAGGAAACAAATATGCGACAGTACTGGTATCATAAAACTCACGTAAAAATGACTAATAAGAGAAACTTGTAAACGACATCAAACATTTAAAGGATACGACAACTTACGAAAACATTTCAGCCACAATGATTCGCTGCCTCTCCCTGTCTGTGGACTTGTAACATGCCAAATGTGGGTAACCGTAGCACGCAAACTGTGGTCGCTTCCACAAAACTAGTGTCACAATAGCAGCAACTCTAGCAACTCTATTACCAGGGATTCTGGGTTAATTCAGTACACGGTAACACACAAAAAGCTCCTGAGATAAATAATAAATTTAGGATCGTCATGTAGCTAATCATTAGGATAGCAATGATTGTATCGATGTTATGCGTCTCATAAAAAAGACCGATTTGAATTTAGCATGGCAAGAACAACCTCGGAAAATTCATGATACACTGCAAACAACTTTATTTTCGCGAATTTCGCGAATCACCTACAATTCGCGAAAAAAAATGTAAACACATTGGAATCTATATCGCGACCGCACCGCGTCGCGAAAATTATAATCCGCGAATTATTCCACAACTGCGGCCTCTTGGACGCCTCGATTTCACGATTTACTTGAGCGTGTTTCAGCTGGAAGATATAGACGAGCTATTATTATTATTTTTTTTATAACTGTAAGTATTATTCAAAGTAACAAGAAAGTTGCCTACCTGCAAGTGTTTCCGCAAACTGAAGGTCGCCTTTCGGTTTATTGAATTTGTTTTCAGAAACGGTGCGGAGAGTTTGCTCCTCACGATTATAGTTTTTTTCATTGGTGCTAATCTGTATAGAGAATTTTTCGCAACAAGGCCCCGGCAGCCTTTCCTTTTCCATTGTAGATAAGACTGTTGCAGCTTCTCAATGCAAAGCAGCACTGCGCGCCTCGGGACGGTTCCACAGGCCAAGACGAGAGGACAACGCGTGGAGGGTCACGATAGAGGTGTAAAAACAAAGTGCCAAGCCAAGCCCTCTATAAAAAAGAAGCCTTCAACGAACAACACATGCCAAAACAAGCTCCCTACAGCTAAAGCCGCGGTTTGTAAGTTTTGGAATCTCGTTCAATC